CCACCCGCGCGGGCCCCGCGGGTGCATCTCCCCGCAGCGCCAGGCCGCCCTGACTAAGGCTTCCTCGCGGCTCGAACCTCCCTGGGCGTGTCCCCATCGCGGCAGGCAGGTCGCTGAAGCCTCCAGCCCTCGGAGAAACTTAAACCTTCCTGGAGATAGAATCGCTGCGGAACACTCTGTGCCCAGCGGAGATAAGGCCCGCCGGCAGTCATCCAGCAGGCGCTCCAACCCTCGCCTGCTACAGCCCTGCTGCGCCCCAGGCTGGGGAGCCGAGGCAGGGCCTCCGAGGATGCTGCTGGCTCATCTCTCGGTGCAGAGTCCCAATGTGGGTGGGAATCCTTCCCCATGCTGGAGTCGCCTTGCTCCCAGCCCCTCAGTCGCAGAACGGGGGTCTAGTGGGGATCCAGGGGTCCACTGTTAGTGGTGGGAGACAGCAGGAAGGGAACTCTGGTCTAGGTGGAGAGGCCTACAACAACCCTAAGTACAACCTTTTGGGGTCCATGGTCAGTCTGGATTTGGTATAACTTGTTTTTACACGGGTATCTGCTTGCACACAGTACGCTATAAGCTTAATGAGGGCAGGGCCTGTCTCCTGCTGGATGATTTAGGGCAGGTGTGTATTCGGTAGTGAATGCATGCCCTCTCCTCACTTCCCTGGATGTGGTTTAATTAAAGCTGTTGCATTGTAGGATTATTTCTGTTTGCCCCTTTGCCTCCCAAACTGGATTGTATCTGGTTGGGGCTTGTACTTGCAGCACACAAGCCAGTGCCTGGCCCATGAGAGGCCTGGAGACTCAGGCAAGGCACAAGTGAAAGAGTTATGCTCTTTTCTCCTGCGCATCTATACCATTTGATTCGGTACGTTTTGATGCTGCCTTTTGTGAACTTGAAAGGATAAAGGCTGTTTTCCTTTAGGAAGTTTGCATCATGGGAAATGTAAAAGAGGAAATAGGTAAAAATGGATGCCCTGAGAATCTCCTCCCCTTTTTTAAACTTCTTAGAGAATTTAAAAAAAAAAATTGAACACTGATTATATCTGACAAACATTGTTCTGTCTCTAAGGTGATCTACCACCATTCTGATGAGACAGCCTTTTGGAACAAGAGAGGGTAGCTCAAGTTGTTTTCTAAAAAGATGCTAGCCTTCCACGGTGCATGTGCCAGTCTGTCTCATAGGACCCTGTTTTGACTTAGTTTCAACTGGGAAGACCCAGGTAATCATACTCCCTAGTTAACAGTTTCTTCTCCAGACATGCTTCTTGAGACAGCAGTAGACTCTTCTGCTATTGAGTCTGTTGAGGGGGAGAGCATTCTAGAACTCTGGGGAGAATATGGACAAGGCTCTGTGAATGACTGAAAGATTTACTGGACATGGTCCCTGCTCCTGGGGACCTTAGGGACCTTAGGGTGGAGTTAAAGAGATAATTTATTCACAAGTGACTGTGACATAAGACAGAACAAGATAAGTGACACATGAGACATCCAGAAAAGCTGCTGAAGGTGTCCAGAGGTGAAGGGATGGCTTTCAGCAAGAGCAGAGGTCTCAACTCTGGCTGCATGTTAGAATCACTTGGGAAAGAATCCCATGTCCAGAGCAGCATCCAGAATCTCCAGAGATGGGCCTCAGACATCAGTTTCTGTCTTAAATAGCCCCCAGAAGATTCTGTTGTGCAGCCAACATGAAGAACCATTGAACCCTGGTTATCAATGGCTGATTCACAGAGGTGCTAGGACTGGGCTGAGAAATAATAGGTAGGATTTCAGAAGGTGGACACAGATATGGTGGGTGATATTCCAAGCAGACAAAACCACAGAAGGCCCAGACACACATGGGAAAGTGCAAGGTGTGTCAGTAGTCCCTGTCCTGGGGGACTCGTTCAGTGTAGGAATGGCTCAGAGTTATTTGCACATTTGAAGAGATTTGGAGTCAACAGGCAGGTAGGAGCCTTTGCAGGAGCTGAGTAACGAGTTTGCTGCCTTGCTCCTTACAGAAGATCCATGGTTACCTCTCCTGGGGGAATTCTCAGTTGCCCGATTACTTCATTTCTTACACCTAGAGAGGCAGATGGACTAGCAGGACTGGGAATGGGGCTGAGGCCACAGCAGGGGTTAGAAAAGCAGGCAGTGGCACAGATTTTTTAGAACTCTCTCCCAGTAACCTCCCTTGGCCCACATCTTTGGGAAAAATATACCCTACCAACTCCCACCAGGAGCTTTAGTATAAACCCAGAGCCATGTGATACCGGGGAGATGGCTGCCCCCAAACCTGAACAGAGCTGGTGGTGGTGTTGAGTGTGAGCCCAGCACACTAGGTCTCTACCTGAGCCTCCCAGTGCAAATGACCACAGCCTCTAGCCCAGCCTGGTAAGGCGTGGAGGGGGCTGTTCTCAGATAATGACTGAGCCTTATGGATTTCTTCCCACCTCATCCATGCCAGGACCACTTGTGTAAATAAGTCGTCTAAAAACTATTTTTTGTGTGCACTTTCTTGTGTGAAAGATTTAAGCATGTACCCCCATATATTATATTTATTTATAAATTATAGCCATACACTACTGTCCTGAGTATTATGGACATAGAAATATATGCAAATATAGAACTTTTAAAGGGATGAGAGGCAAAGTAAACATGATAAAGTTTTGTCAGTGTACTAATGGTACAAAATCTATTGCACCAACATACACTGTTTTTGAGATAAAACCATATAATCAAGTTTACATCTCATTTATAAAATGGTAAAATATATGCCCCAGCATGTGAAGGTCTGGTTCTGTGTCCTGTTTATTTCAGTTCCTGCTTCTTGTGGTACCTGGTGTTCACAGGTAAACATAACACACCTCACGGAGACACAGAGACTGTGCTATGAGTCCAGTATATGTTTTTCAGTCCCACTTACCGATCATGCAAGGGCTCTTGAATTTGGGCTGATAAATGTTCATGGGCTATCTGTCAGGGAAGCTGGAAATCTGGTTCCCAAAGCTTTTGGTGTGCAGGTGTAGGTGTTTGTGAAATGGTGCTCTTGGAGCATCGTTGTCAACACAATCACAACATTTTCAAACATCCATTTTCCATAAAAGCTCTGTTCTTGGCACAGATTATTTATTTTGAAAGGACGTAACTCTCATGCATTGTCACCTTTCCCTTGAAGGGACTGATTTGAGTATGTTGGCTTGAAAGAAATAAGCCAGGTGATACCCTGCTGCCCTTGAAGAAGGTCTCCAGATTTGGAACTTTTTGTGAAAGAAAATGTAAATTTCCTCCTTACATTCTAAATCACAAGATAACCAGTGAACCTCTGTCTCATAAAAGATCTTCACAGGTATTCCTGAGTCACTACAAAGTATGGTAGTACTTTGGCTATTTAAGAGTCTGGTTTTTGTTTTTAATTGACTACAACCGTGATACCTTGAAGCATGTAAACTCCAACATGTCTGAGAGGCTTAAAGTAAACTAGTGGTCAAGGGCCTGCCATCATCCCCGTGTCACAGAATCTCTCCTCTATCAGGGTGCCCATGGCTGCTGACACACAGGCCAACAACGGTCCCCCCAGGTATTAAATGTTAGTAAAGCCACTTTTTCTCATTTTTAAAGAAAAATACTTATAAGTAAAATTTCTCACTATTCCATTACTTCAGCAGATCATCTTGCTCTCCCCACTTGGAGACCAGTAGTGGGGTTCACTGGCAGGGACCATGCTCTATAAATGTGCCTGCTAGTTTCAGCCTATTTTTGACAGTGTTTATTGATATTTGGACATTTCATCTGTAGAATCCATTGAATTAGACATTTTCACATATTTATTGTGTACCCCATCCCCAGAAAAAAGATCATGTACTAGGTAAAAGATTAAGCAAAACAAAACACCCTTGAGCAGCATTACTGCACATTTAGACACCCTCTCCCTCCATGCCCCACCCCAGCTCCCTTCTTGACGTAGCATCCAAGCCCTCATTGGTTTCCCCTTCTAGCTTATTCCCTGCTGTTCTGTCCCCACCACTCCGAACTTCTTGCTGTCTCCCCCACACACGCTTTCATTTCTCTGTGATCTAGTAATGCCCTCCCTTTCCAACTAATAAGAAACTTGAAACCAGTCTCCCATGCAGCCTCCTCCTGAGAGCCTTCCCAGAGGAAGCTCTCTTACACACACACACACACACACACACACATACACACACACACACACACACCAAATTCGGTCTCCAGAATCTCATGATGCTTTTATTTGGCTTCAGTTTTAGCAATTACAATACATGCAAACATTCAGACTGTGAACTCCTGGGATTTTCATTCCCAAATCCTTAGTACCTGGTACAAGTGCCCATCGCACAGTGGGCACTTGGCAAATGTTTGTTGGATTAATAAATGCTTTTTTGTCTTGTGTATCCTAAAAGGCCACAGGTTCTATCAGCAAACGTTAATTAAGTACCTGTCATGCCTTCTTCAGTGTATACACACAGACCTTTAATACTGCTGACTGTTACTGACTCCCATGTTGATAAGGAAGCGCTTTCCTAGCTGAGATGGATCCTTACCCACCTTGGTCCTCAGGAAAAGGACCGAGTCCTGGCCAGCACCACCAGCCAGGCCATTTCTCTCTTCCACACCTGTGGTAAAGAGGGCAGAACCATGGTTGTCTGTTCTCTGCCTGACATCAGGAGGTATGCCTGTGGCTTTATTGAGAACCCTCCTTCCCACCCATTCATCCCTCCAGACCTTTGCAGACTTAGGCTTCCATGGAAGCAGATGTACTGAGCCTGGGACATGACAGGCACATGTGACATAACAGCGTATGTGCCTTGTCCACTTCTGCTTGCTGGTCTTGAGGCTCACTCAGCAGTGACCTCTCTTGAAGCATTAACACCATTCTATTCCATATATGCAGAAATAAAACTTTTTTGCATGGGCATATAGAAATTGGGAGACATATTTAAGCCCCTAATGAGAAAAAAAACCCACAAATTTATAAAGTGGAAGTGTCTGGACTCCTCAATATACACTAAAGAGTGCGGCTGCACAAGGGGCCCCTGAACAACTGTGGGTGCGCATGAACTGGCACAACCCATAGCTCTTTAACAAAAGCTACTGGAAAAACCATTTTTAGAGGAATTCTATGTGCCATCAAGAGACTTCTCAGAAATTAGCAGCCCACGGTATGCACTCACTCTGGACCAGTTCAATTGCTCACCTAACAAGCAAATATTGAAATACTCAACAGCTTGTGTAATGTTTAATATCTTAACAGTAGGCAAACAAGCCTTTTAGTAGGGAAAAAAAAAAGCTTTCCCTTCCCTTCCTGGCTCTGTCCCTGGAGGATTTAAGTGAGTCTCTGCAGGGAAAGTTTTCAGACATGCTCTTGTGGGGCGGAGGTGGCGGCTTTGCAAGTGGCCAAGTGTTTGCCTTAGAGTAGAACCTGCCTGGGCTGGTTCTGGATCAAGGCCATTTCCACTTCTGGGGACTTTCTGTGCCACCAGGGTCAAGTGTTTTAAGGAACTGTAGCTTCCCTTCCTCGTGTACATTTGCTTTTGTAACCAGAAAGCTTTCTTGGTTTTGTAATTCCGGGAATCTCCTCCTTTAAATTCTTTTTTACTCAAACAGAACAGAAGCAAGTATAGCATTTCATGAGACTTTGGATAAAGCCTGGCATGTGCAAAGCACAAGCTGAGTGCTATGGGGAGATGGAAATACATAAAATACTTACTAAAGTGGTGGGGCTCAAGGGGCATTTTTAAATTTTTTTTCTACTATTATGTTCTAGAGGCAGTATATATGCAAATTTTATAAAGATGTTTACTGCTTTTAGTATACATAGCGATGTAGTGGTATAGTGGTTACAAACACAGCCAGGGAGGTTCAGATCCTGGCTCTGTGGCTTTCTTGCTGTGTGATCCTAGGCCAGGCTTTTCCTCCTGGTTTCTTTGTCTATAAAGGGATAATGATACAAGAAGCCAGAGCTGGGTTAGGAGGCTGTGTAAACACAGAAGTATATACTATAAAAGCTTCTTATCTTTTAATGTAGCAGGAGAGAACAAAGAGCCACCCCTGCAGTCTGGTCTCTGTTTTCCTAAATCCGTATTTCTTTGTTATTGGATCTGTTTTAAGTAACATACTTGCGATCTGTTTTGCTCTTTGATTTTCTAAGTTGGTGAGGGATGTTTTATGTTTATTTTTCAAATTATTCTCTAGCGCCCTCCATTTGCCCAAAGGTGGCAGAGAGTCATGCCAGGGAACCCTAGGCCCCTCCTGATGTCCCAAGAGGCGTCAGTGCTCCTGATCTCCAAGGTCACCCTGCCAGCCCCACCCCAGAGCCCTCTGTGCAGGGCTGCCTCCTTTCTGCCAGTCCTCCCGTAGCCCCGGAGGAAACCTGCAGCCAGGAGCCTCTCCCAGGACTCAGGTCAGTTTCCAGATACTGCTGTACAGCCTCGTAGGAAGGTGGAGGGTCTGTCTTTCTGCCCCCCCCACCACCACCCTACTTCCTTCCAGACCTAGAGAGATAGGGTTAAGCTTGATGTGTCCTTCCTTGGACAGACCAGAAGACTTCTGTGAACTGTGACCTTTTTTAACATTCCCCTCTTGAGACAGAGGAAGAAAGATCTTCCTCTATCTTGGCCAGGACAGATGACCCTGGGATGACTGGCCCCTCTTAGTCTAACCCGCTTGTAGAAACCTTTCATAAAACACAGGCCTCCATGGATATCATTAAATCACTGCTCTACTATTACCTGTCTACAATCGATTTTTAAGACAGTATTCCACCTTGTTAATTTTAAAAGAATTGGCATAATTTATTACTTTGCAGCTTAATAGCACTTTATACTATTTTAGCTTTAATTTTTTCACATTTTAACCATGTGGTTAACTGAAAGCCATATTTTAAATTAATAAGTAACTTCTTACAGTTGTGTTGTCTACACATGCACAAATATTTATTGACTACATTTTAAAGCATAATTTTTGAGTAACTATTATTAGACAGATATGGACACATCTTTCCTTAAAAGAAAAAAAAGCATGAGCTTACTTTGAAAAAAGGGCTTTAATGGAAATTATTTTCAACTGACTGGAGCGAAAAGTGAAACTAGCCATTTTAAAAAAACAAGCTCTCACTCCATGCACACTGGGTTTCAAAGCAGGTCCTTCGGGTAGTACTGTTAGCTTGTGTTCTCTAATGAATGATTGACTAGCCGTTTGTCTGTCTTCCGTGTGATTGTAACGTGCTTAATGGATGGTGTTGGGTTAATATGAGCCTGATCGTGGAGCCAATTCATTGAACTCAGAACTCTTCCCCAGTGAGTCATGGAGGTTTCTTCCCACTTAAAGGACTGTGAGCTGTGAAGGGTTCCTCTCGCTCAACCTGCATCCTCGGTGTGTGGACAGTGACCAGGAGCTTCCTGGGGCCTCCCCTCCTCTACCAATCTTGCTGCCCACCTTAGGTCTGAGCAGCCTAGTCCACACTTCAGCCTCCATGCCCGCAGCTTCCAGAACGTGACTACCTCCTTCTCTAGCAGGTAAGCGTCTGATGACCTCTGGGCTCAGTTTCTCTGCTTCTCACACCTGAAATCTAGTCAAATGGATTTCCCTAAATTGAGAGAGGCCTTTCTTTTATATATATATTTGTGTGTGTGTGTGCGGGTATATGTGTATATATGTATGTGTATATATATATATATATATTTGTATTTATTGATTGATTTTTAGAGAGACAAAGAGAGGGGGAGAGAGAGAGAAACATCAATTTGTTGTTTCACTTATTTATACATTCATTGGTTGATTCTTGTATGTGCCCTGACCAGGGATCGAACCCACAACCTTGGTGTATCAGGACCATGCTCTAATCAACTGAGCTACCCGGCCAGGGCTGAGAGAGGCCTTTCTAAACCTCCACTCTTGTTTCTGCTATGTCTTATGCTTGATAATCTCTCAGCAGACTTTCCCAGTTTATGTACCAGATTTAAATATAACATTCATGGTGACAAGATTTTCTTTGGAGGAAAATGACCACTCTTGAGGGAGGCTCACATACCAATGCCCAGCTAAAGCAGGAGATACTGATCCTTAGGATTCATGGTGGGAAGCTACATTCCATCATCCCACCCACATGTCTGCCTTCCTGTGTTCCTGATCCTCGGTCAACAAAGCCAGTGAGGGCCCCCATCCCAGGCCTCTCCTCTCCTTCCCTCCACAGCCCTCTCCAAGCTTAGAAATCGCCCCCCAAAGCAAGCACACTAAGCTGAGTTTCCTTTTACCGGCTCTGTGTTGGGTGAGAGTAAAGCCAGGCCCGGAGAGGAATTCCATCAGCCTGAATATTTTGCTAAGAAATAGCACATTCAGATGAACTACAGAGAACATCTGAATAGCTTTTATCAAATGATAAATGCCACTCTAACAGTTACATTGCATATAAAAGCCTGTTGTTGATCTTAAGTTTCAGGAAGAAAGAAGGTCAGTTTCCTAAAACAGTGTGCTTTTTTAAACATAAGGAATAGAACTATTGTTTCTCTCTCATGTGTGCTATTTTGAGTTAAGATGATACAAAAAAAAGTGAGAAACATGGAGAGGTTATGTATCGCAGGATTCAATCTTCCCCACTTTCCCCTGTGCTCCCCCAAACACAAAACCTATTTTCGTGGCACACCCTAACTTTTTGTCTTTGGTCTGTAACTAGTGCTGAGGGTCCCTGCAGGTGAGAGGATGGCAGCACTCAGGCAGCTGTCACTCCTGCTCTGGAAGAACTACACTTTGCAGGTATGTCTCACTCTTGGGGACATGGCAGAAAGAAGTGCATGCCCACTATGTGGGTTCCTTGGGAGGTAGGGGCTCAGGGCGTGAGTGAAGTTTGGAGGAGGGGGTCTCCCCAGGGGAGGGGACTCTGTGAGCCCACTCCTGTGCCTCTGATCCATTAGCATGTGATTTCATTCCTCTTCCAGAAGCGGAAGGTCCTGGTGACGGCCTTGGAACTCCTCCTACCATTGCTGTTTTCTGGGATTCTGATTTGGCTTCGCTTGAAGATCCAGTCAGAGAACGTGCCCAAGGCCACCATATACCCCAGCCAGTCAATCCAAGAGCTGCCCCTGTTCTTCAGCTTCCCTCCTCCAGGAGATACCTGGGAGCTTGCCTACATCCCGTCCCAGAGCGACGCCGTGAAGACCATCACAGAGACAGCCAAAAGGGCATTGGTGATCAACATGAGAGGTGAGATGTCCTGTGGGATCCTTCCCTCTGTGGGGTTCAAGGCCATTCTCCAGACGTAGCATCTCCTTTGTTGGCCGTGTAGCCAGGGCGAATCCCCCAACTCTGTGTGAGGTCTTTTTTTTAAATTGATTTAAAAAAAATTTTCTTTTTTTTAGAGAGAGAGAGAAGCATCACTTGTTATTCCACTTATTTACACATTCTTTGGTTGATTCTTATATGTGCCCTGACCAGGGATCAAACCCACAACCTTGGCATATTGAGATGACGTTCTAACCAACTGAGCTCTCCAGCCAGGACTTGTGTCATGTCTTATTATAAAGTAGGCACCAGAGTTGTGAGGGCCAAATGAAGTGACATGTGACAGCTTGAGCAGCACCTGATTACCCACAGGGAAAATAGGTGGCCACGTACCCAAAGAAAGCTCTTTAATTACAGGGGCAAGATGCAGTTCGAGAGCACGTGCCAAGGACCTTTTCAGGGATGTGGTTTTGGGAGGACAGCTCAAAAAAAGAGTCACTAGGCCCTAGCTGGGTGGCTCAGTTGGTTGGAGCATTGTCTCGTACACCAAAGGGTTGCGGATTTGATTCCCAGTCAGGGCACATACCTAGGTTGTGGGTTTGATCACAGGTTGGGACGTGTATGGGAGGCAGCCAAATGATGTTTCTTTCTCTCCCCTCTCTCTCCCTCTCCCTCCCTCCCTGCCTCTCTCTCTGAGATCAATAAAAGCATATCCTCAGGTAAAGAATTTTTTTAAAATGTGTCATGAGGAAGCTTGTAGAGGGACACTGCTGGTAAATATATGCTAGTCACCTTTTCCAGCTCTTTGCTTGCAGGATAAAAAGTATTATCCCTTTTTTCCCCCCCTCTTAATTTTGGTATATACCTCCTGTGGCTTGTTAAATTCAGCATAGCAAACACTTAGGAGCAGATCCGTGGTCCCTCACTGCGTGATTACAGTAAAACCCTTTATGTGAAATGGCATCTGGGTGATAGAGAATCATTTAACAAGCTATATGTTAGTGTCTACTCACATTTTTAAAGTACACCATCATGGCGATAAGAGGGCTATCCCTGGCATTGGAATCCAGTGCAGGGTGACCGCCCTCATGGAAGAGGGATATGGACTTGGCATTACTGCCAGCCCTGCCTCCAGTCTCACCAGAACCCAGGGCCGGCTGTGATTGCGAGGTTCTGCCCGTCTTCACAGCAGCCTACCTTTCTGCCAAAAACAAAAGCCTTCTGAGGTCTTAGGAAAGGTTTACACAACCCTAGAGAAACTTGTAAGTTTTCAGTCTTTTATCTGCAAATGACCAAACCGTCCAGATTTTTCAAGTGGTGCAGAAGATTGGGCAACTCAGCTTCAATGCTCTTCACAGTTCGCGGCTTTCCCTCGGAGAAGAACTTCGAGGACTACATCAAGTATGACAACCGCTCCTCCAACGTGCTGGCCGCCGTGGTGTTCGAGCACACCTTCAACCACAGCAAGGACCCCCTGCCCCTGGCGGTGAGGACTCAGCCCCACAAAGCCGAGTCCTTCCCCCACTACCCCACCCCAAACTAATTCAGCCTAAAAAAGTGCTTTGCCAGCCTAGGAGGAAATATCTGACTTTCCCCTTGGGACCAGTATTGCCATCTTGGTCCCTACTTGAGGGAGCCCTGGGGATGTTTAGCCCATCAGGCCTGAGCAACTTAGAAACCTTACCTGCTTGAAGACAGCAGCCTATAAGCCATCACCGTAGGCCCGTTTATGTCCTCTCATTTCATAAAAGATGTTACTGGTCTCCAGGCTTCTTTGGATAAAGTCATATAGGATAAGAAAGTAGCAGATACTTGGGACTGAAATATGATGTGGCATTAGCATTTCTATTACGTATTTAAAACAAACCCCCAAAAAAGCTTTTTGCTTTTTTGGCATTAAGACTGGGAAACCATCAAATCCTTCTAGCATTATTTTGAAGGCCCTCCACTTGTGTAGAGTTCATGTGGGTAGATGGCAAAAGAGGGACCCAGGAACACCCCAGGTGCCCCTGTGGGGCTCCCTGTTCCCCCCGGGGCAGGACCACTCACTCGGACATTCAGAGACCACGTGGACATTGACGGAGGGCGGGGAGGGCACTGGGAGTGGTGAGTTCACAGAATAACAGAGTTCCCTAACCTCTCTCATTTGATAGAGAAGTTTGTTCCTCTCTCTGGATGCCTCAGAGCAGTTGGTTTTCTCTTTGTTTCCACAGGTGAAATACCACTTACGGTTCAGTTACACGCGAAGAAATTATATGTGGACCCAAACAGGCTCCTTTTTCCTGAAAGAGACAGAGGGATGGCATACCACTTCTCTTTTCCCACTTTTCCCAAACCCAGGACCGAGGGAACCTGCATCCCCCGATGGTGGAGAACCTGGTGAGAAGCAGCTTTCGAGTCGTGCTACCCCTACCCCAGGGTGGTGACTGGTGATAATCACATGGGGGAAACCCACCTTGCATTTCTCTGCAGAAATACTTTTTAGGAATATTTGATCTTCTTTGTAAGAGAAGGAAGAGAACATCCTGGAAAACTGTCTCCTGTAAGACTAAAATAATCTTTGAAAATAGCAAAGGCTTTCTTCCTGTTTCTCAGAAGACACTGCTCTTGAATGAAACATTTATATTTCAGTTTTTAGGGAGCTTCGGTTTGCATTGAATCTTTTGGGCTTGGTTTTATGTTTTCCTTCTCCTTGCCACCTCTGTATACAGTTTTATAGGCTCTTTAAAAAAACTCTGTGGTTGTTTAATTGGTCTGTGGTTTAATTGAGTCAGTGGAATATTTATAGAAGTTGAATCTTAGGTAGCTATATCCTGTCAGTGCTTTATCTGTCCCATGTGACTTTAGCAGGTAGTTGGCATGTTTGTCTCCTCTGAAGCATGGTCATATCTTGGAACATGCTGGATAGCCAAGAAGTAACAGGACTAGACATTGCCCTCAGCTGAGACCCAAGTGTAGGTTCCATAGCATTCAAAGTGTTGCAAAGAACACAGGATTCCAGAGGGTCTGCAGGAGGCAGAGCTTGTTAGAGGATTTGATGGAATGACCCAGGGATGTCCCTAAATGGAGAACCAGACAGGCAGGAGGGAGGTAGGAGGCAGAATGTGTGCAGCCAGGGTTTATGGATGGTCTGGTGTCAAGGCCTGTTCCAGGACAAGATTTTAAACCCAGAAGAGGAACTAAGAGGAACAAGGCAAGGTGAGGTGCAAGAGGCCCCAGAATGAGGTTCTGGACAGGTCACCAAACCTGGAGCTAAGGAAAAACCACATCAGTAGCAGGAGAGACTGGCTGCTGAGACCCAGGGGGCTGGGCTAGAGCTCCTGCTTGTCTGGACAAATCCCTAGGCTTAGAAGCAACAGAAAAAAGTTCTCAGGAAAAGACTGACAGATTTCAAGGACATGATATTGACATAAAAGCAGGGGACAAGGGAAAACATTTTCAGCAAGTGACAAAGGGTAAATATCTTTTGTTATATAAAGGATGTGTACAAAGCAGTTAGAAAAGCATGAAGACTCAGCAGTGTTGTCCCCCAGCCCACCCCTAAAGGTCCATTCCTTAGACCCACTGATTCCCCTGATAAGAATTTAACCCTGGAATAGTCTAACAGAAGGAGAAAACCCATATGCACACATATGTTCACCATAGCTTTACTTGTGGTCACAAAAATTTCAGCAATGGGAAACGACTGATTACAGAGTGATGGCATCATCCCTCAGAGTGTTGAGCAGCACACAAGTTGTGAAGATGAAGACCATGTAGTAACATGGCAAAGCCTCGTGAGAGAGCTGTATGTGAACAGGCAGGCAGGATATTTCGTGGGGGAGTTGGTGTGATGTTATGAAAGACATTGGCTTTGAAGCCCATCTTGCCAGAGTCCCATCTCACCTTTGCCTTGCCACCAGTTGTGTGGCTCAACTGCCTGGGTCTCAACGATCCCTTCTGTTCAGTGGGGATATCATTAGCTCCCCTGCAGGTATGTTGTAAATATGTGAATCAAACCCCCACCCAACACAACAATGGGTGACCTTAATTGAGCACCTACTATTACCACAACCATAAAAAGACTTAAACCTAAGGGCAACAGAAGAAACACACAGTACCTGTGTGGAGGTATCGTTGGCATATTGCTTTTCTCTTTCCTAGAGGCTGGAACACAGGCAGTTCTGTGTTAGAGGACATCAGATTTCTAAATGTCACTGTATTTTATAAGTGAGGGTACCCACACCACCCAGACCTGCACCCCTTGTTCCTCCTCTGTTTCTTGGGCTCAGGCCTCAGAAGCTCAGGCTGCCTTTTTCTCTCCTGTGGCCATGCCACTCCTTCCTTAGGCTCAGTCCCTCCCAAGCTTAGCTCTGGACTGGAGTACCATATCCCCAGTTTATCACTTCCTCCCACGCCCTTTTCACTTTAAGAATTTTATTACAAACCATTCTGGGGAGTCTAAAAGGGCCAGCACAGAGAAACCACAGGTACACAAAGGTCTTAAGGAGTGGTCTTTGGGCTGTGGTGCCTGCCTCCTTTTGAGATGGTAACTCAAGGGTAGAGCTGTCTAGTCAGCAGAATTATAGCCCTCCAAAGATGTCACATCATAGTCCTCATAACCTGTGAATATGTCAAGACACATGGCAAAGGGGAATTAAGGTGGCAGGTGGAATTAAAGTTGCTAATCAGCTAGCCTTAAGACAGCCAGATTATTGTCGGTTATCCCAGTGGGCCTTCGTAATCACTAGGTCCTTAAAAGTGGACAAGGAAGGCAGAAGAGAGGGTAAGAGAAAGATGTGATGGCAGCAGCAGGGTCAAAGAGATGCTGCCTGGCTGGCTTTGAAGGGAGAAGGAGGGGCCACACGCCTGGGAATTCTGGAGGTCCCTACAAACTAGAAGAGTGAGGGAGACCTTAGGGCATTAGGCGATGTCGCTCTGCGGCCCCATTCAACAGGGAGACCCTGGTATAGCTCAGTGCTCATGACTGAGGTGGGAGCACCCCATGCTGCAGCTCTTCCAACACATGTTGACCGCATGTGTTAGCATGTCCTGTGCTCCCACCCTCAGGGTACATCCGAGAAGGCTTCCTGGCTGTGCAGCACGCCGTGGACAGAGCCATCATGCGGTACCACACAAACGCCTCCACGCACCAGCTGTTTGAGAAGCTCACCGTGATCGCAAAGAGGTTCCCATACCCGCCTTTCATTTCGGACCCCTTCCTCGTGGCCATCCAGTACCAGCTCCCCCTGCTGCTCATGCTGAGTTTTATTTACACCTCACTCACCATCATCAGGGCTGTTGTGCAGGAAAAGGAGAGGAAACTGAAGGTAACCTGATTTGCATTTGGCCTTAAAACATTTGGCAAGTTGATTCTAGGCACAGTGCCACTGTGGGGTGGTTGTGTCCCGGGCCCTGTTGTTGGGCAGGCGCAGCTTGTGGGTGCTGGAGCCACAGAGCAGTTTGGAGTGAGGCAGGCGTCATTTTGGGGATTCTTTGAAACAAGTCCTGATATGCCCAGATTTTAAAAACCATAAGAAAGTACCATATTTTGTGTGCAGTATACTAAGAACTGAACGTGGCCCTGGCGCTGCTTTGTCCAACGCGGGAGCCACAGCTCTGGGGCTTTCAGCACTTGCGGTGTATCTGGTCTGAACTGAGTCATGCTGACAGTGTAAAATGTACACCAGATTTTTGAATACTTAGTATGAAAAAAAGAATGTAAACTGTTCCATTAGTACTTTCTATATTCACTATATGTTGAAAAAACAATATTTTAGACATATTGGGTTAAGTAAAATACATTGTTGAAATTAATTTTACTTGTTTCTTTTAACTTTTTCTTTGTGACTACTGTAAAATTCTAAATTACGTATGTGGCTCGCAGTCTGTTTCTGTTGAACAGAGCCACTCTAGAGATAAGAAGAAGCTGGAAAATCAATAGCCTGGCTTACAAGAGACAGTCAGTGCTGGTTCCCTCCTCCAGACTAGCGCTATCCAATGGGACATTCCATGATGATGGATGGACATGTCCAGTGTCTGTTGTCCAGTACTGTCACCACTGGGCACTTTTATTAATTTCAATTGAAATAGCCTCATGTGGCCACTGGCCACTCCGTTGAGCATCACAGCCTTATGTGTTCTGGGACTCTCTGGTCAGTTTGGTCAGTGGAATAACTGGGTTTCCTCACCACACCTCCTGACAGACTGACTGGGGGCCTCGAGGAAGGCCTGTCCCCAGCATCACTATGCTCTTGTCCTTCCTGTAGGGGCCCCTGCCCCTCACAACAATAGTCTGTACCCCTCATTTCAGAATAGTAGGAGGAGAGGCAGTGCCTCTGGCTTCTAAAGAATTCCCACAGCCACTGTTGATCCTGGAACAGCCCTGCAGCCACACTTTGCAGCAAGGGCATAAGTGTGGTTGGTACTAGACAGTGGAGGGGCCGGGCTCCACTCTCCTGACTCAAAACCCCAACACCAGCTGCCCCACCACACAGCTTCTTGGGGGTCAGTCAGGGGTACCCAGAGAAGACTGGGAAGCACAGGCCAGGAGTTTGGAATTACTCCAAGGAATGAAGGACTGCTGAGGGAGTTCATTAGCTTAGTCAACACAGTGCATGCCCACCTCAGGCCCTGACCAAAGCACGAGGTTATGGGAAAGGGGGCTGTAATGGCTGAGTAGAGGGCAAGGGAGCACACTGGGGTGAAGGGAAAGATGGCTAGTAGTAGCTGGGAATCAGAGGGCAAAATTCCTCATGCCCCAAGGTCAAGGACTGACACACCAGTAGGACCCATGTCTTCTGCCTCTGGCCAGTGTGAGTGTCACTGCTCCTGCCCCTGGCCTGTGGTGCAGGTGTCCCATGTCCTCTTTTGGCCCATGTATGACACCGCACATCTGCAGTCACACTCACACACACAGAGGTTCTGAGGAAAGTCCATGTGAGGAAGGTCCGGGGCCTGGCATGGCAGTGGGAACGTGCCCAGGCAGGGGCGTCGGGCAGGTGGGGTGTCGGGACGTGCGTGTCTGCATATGCATTAGGGCTTGTGCTGGAGCGCGTGCCGGTGTTCCCCCAGGAGTACATGCGCATGATGGGGCTCAGCAGCTGGCTGCACTGGGCTGCGTGGTTCCTGCTCTTCTTCCTCCTCCTCCTCGTCGCCGTCTCCTTCATGACCCTGCTCTTCTGTGTCAAGGTAAACGGGGCTTCAAGATGGGGTCTGATGTCAAGAGCATGGCATTCAATTTGATGGGAGAGCCAGAGGCAGCCTTAGTACCAACCACAGAGCCCCCAAGATTCCACGTTTGCAGATTTTAGGGGAGCCGGCCTGGGCTCAGTAGAGAGGGGCAGTGGTTTCCCGGTCAGCGTAGCCCCTTCCCCGCCCCCCACCTGTTTCACTTGTGGCCAGAACGTTCACTGTCTCCACCCTCGCTGCTGTAACCTGTGCGTGCTGACCTCTGGGGTGGCGCATCACGCAGGTGAAGCAGGACGTGGCAGTGCTCGCACACAGCGACCCCTCCCTGGTGCTGGTCTTCCTGGTCTGCTTTGCCATCTCCTCCATCTCCTTCAGCTTCATGGTCAGCACCTTCTTCAGCAAAGGTGAGTCTTCCTGACCCCTGGGAACAGAGGACAGAGGGGTGATAAAGCCCCAGAAAACCTGGCAGTTTCATTTGGCATAAAAAGAAACCCAGAGAGTGAAGAGTTTTTGTACTCTGCACCTTCCTATAGACCCAATTTTCTGGGTGTTGAAGTACATCCCTGAATAATTATTTTATTTTATTTTTAATTATAATTGACATACAGTAAGTATATTAGTTTCAGATGTACAACACTTATGTACCTTACGAAGTGATCACCGCAATAAGTCTAGTAACTATCTGTCACCGTACATAATGTTTCCTATGCTGTATGTTATGTCCTCATGACTTAGTTTATAATGGGAAGTTTGTACTTCTTAATCGCATATGGTATTTGTCTTTCTCTGTCCAACTTCACATAATATAATACTCTCTAGGTTCATCCATGTTGTTGCAAATGGCAAGATTTCATTTTTTATGGCTGAGTAATATTCCAGTGTGTGTGTGTGTGTGTGTGTGTGTGTGTGTACCGCATCTTTATCCATTCATTTATTGATGAACACTTAGGTTGCTTTCATATCTTTGCTATTGTAAGTAAGGCTGCAATGAACATAGGGGTGTATATATCCTTTTGAATAATTGTTTTTGTTTTTTTCAGATAAATACCTAGGAATGTAATTGCTGGGTCATGTGGTAGTTCTATTTTTAACTTTTTGAGGATTCTCCATACTGTTTTCCATGTTGGTTACACTAATTTACACTCTCACCAACAGTACATGGGGGTTTCCTTTTCTCTATATCCTCACCTACACATTTGTTGTCTTTTTGATGACAGCCATTCTGACAGATGTGAGGTGGGATCTCATTGTGGTTTTGATTTGCATTTCCCTGGAGATCAGTGATGTTGAGCATCTTTTCATGTGTCTGTTGGCCGTCTGTATGTCCTTTTTTGGAGAAATGTCTATTTAGGTCCTCTGTTTTATAATAAAATGTGTCAACATTTAGATCTGCATAACTCAAGAAGCAGTATTTTTCACCCAGCTGGGCATGGGTCAGCAGTTGAGCATCGACCTAGGATCCAGGAGATTAGGGTTCAATTCCCAGTCAGGGCACATTCCCAGGTTGTGGGCTACAGCAGATCAATGACTCTCTCATCACTGATGTTTCTATCTCTCTCTCCCTCTCCCTTCCTTTCTCTGAAATCAATGAAGATTTTGTTTTTTAAAAAACGCAGTACTTTTCAAATGACCAATGTTACAAAATCATGCAAGAANGATTTTTTTTTTAAAAAAACGCAGTACTTTTCAAATGACCAATGTTACAAAATCATGCAAGAAGCTTAATCCATTTAAAGTGCAAGTTAGACCAATGGATTTCAGTGTAATGGTATGAAAAGTTCACTGGTTAGTTTTATTGCACATGGCACCTAACCTTTAGGAAACTACCACCTGTTGAATGGTGTAGTGTCAAAAGAGAATAATCCACAGATATCTGAAAGGCTATAAATGCTTGCCCTTTTCTAACTACTTATCCATGTGAAGCTGATTTCTTCATTCACTTCACCCAAAAAATGTGACACAACTAAGTGAATGCAGAAGCAGTTGTGACAATTCGTCTGTAATCTAAGTGAAACATGCAGAGGCTTGCAAAAGTGTAACACAATGCACTTGTCTCACTAAATAATGGGAAATGGAGTTGTTTTTATAAAAATATTTATGTTAACTTATAATGGGTTTATTATTTTCTTAAAAATCTATAAATTTTCTTAGTATTAATTCCCAATGCAGTAAACACTGATGTGTGTGTGTGTGTGTGTGTGTACAACATAAACAAAAGTTCTTTGATGTCCTTAGTAATTTTTAAGAGAGTAAAGGAGCCTTTTTTTTTTTTAATATGTCTTTATTGATTTCAGGGAAAGGAAGGGAGAGGGAGAGAGAGATAGAAACATCAATGATGAGAGAGTCATTGATCGGCTGCCTCCTGCAGGACCCCCACTGGGGACCAAGCCTGCAACCCGGGCATGACCAGGAATCGAACCGTGATCTCCTGGATCCTAGGTCGATGCTCAACTGCTGAGCCACGCCCACCCAGCGGAACTAAAGGAGTCTTAAGACCAAAGCATTTCAGGGCTGCCAGTATGGACTAAAGCCATGCTGTTTTCCCCACACCTCCATGACCCAGTCCCCACCTCTCTCAGGTCTTTCCCACCTATCACCTCGTCACAGCCTTCCCTGGCCACCTGGTCACAGTCACAGCCCCTGACCAGGGAACGCCTTGTCCTCATTCTTTGCCTTGTTGCTCGTTTGTTGACTGTGTGCATCCCCACTGGATTATGAACTCAGGTGGGCTGAGGCTTTGTCTGTCTCGTTTGCGGCCGTCTCCCTGGTGCCTGGAGCAGGGCCTAGCACAGAATAGGCGCTCAGCGAATATCTGTGAGATGAAGGAGTGAGTGAAAAGGGGGAGACCAGGCAAGGAGCGAGGCTGGGGTGCGGGGCTCAGTGTTGGTCATGTCAGGTGCGCAGTGCCAAGGCACCTGGAGGTGAAGTCTGTAGGAGAGGGCCGGAAAACCAATGCGGCGGCCCAGGATGAGGAGGACCCCTCCGCCCTGGGCGGGGTCACGTTCCCTAGGGCACAGGCACCCAGACTGGAGAATAGACTGCAGGCCGAGCTTCGAGTTCCCCAGCACCAGGACCTGTGTCCCAGAGAGGAGGTCCTGAGGCTCATGGGCTTCCTTCTGACACGTTTATGCAAATTCTCGCCCATGATTTTATTGCACTTACCTTTCTCTCGCCATCTGTAGCCAATATGGCAGCAGCGGTCGGGGGCTGCCTATACTTCTTTACATACATCCCCTACTTCTTCGTTGCTCCTCGATACAACTGGATGACTCTTAGCCAGAAGCTCTTCTCCTGTCTCCTGTCCAATGTCGCCATGGCAATGGGAGCCCAGCTCATTGGAAAATTTGAAGCAAAAGGTGAGTATTTTCCTTTTCACAATCTGCCCTTGCTGATTCAGTTATACCTAGAGAGAGTCTAAGCAGAGGCACCTCCAGCTCCAGTAATAGACACATCAGGACAGCTAAGCGAGTGATGCATTTGGAAGACAGGTCATTGGCATCCACCACTTGGCTGGTGTAGTCCAGGCTTTGAGTTCCCTCAAAGCTCTGCCTGGAACCAGCTATTACTGCAGGAAAACACTGGATGTGAGCGTCTGCACCTGCCGACATGGGATTCTATTCAATTACCTCTGAGTTTCTGCCTGCATCAGGAGGCATTCAGAATTATTACATGCCAGGTCTCAAAATCCATGTTTGGGTTTTTAAATAATAGTTTATTTTCCAATTACAGATAATGTACAATATTATGTTAGTTTCAGGTGTACAACCCAGTGATTAGACATTTATGTAACTTATGAAGTGATCACCCCAGTAAATCTAGTACCCATCTAACACCCTGTATAGTTATTACAACACTATTGGCTATGCTGCACTTGACATCCCCTTGACTGTTCTGTAACTACCGATTTGTGCTTCTTAATCCTTTCACCTTTTCACCCAACTCCCAAATCCCCCTTCCATCTGGCAGCCATCAAAATGTTCTCTGTATCTATGAGTCTGTTTCTGTTCTGCTTGTTTAGCTTGTTTTTAGATTCCACATATGAGTGAAATCATATGGCATTTGTCTTTCTCTGTCTGTCAAAGTCCATGGGTTTTGACCCACTCCTAGCCCTCTGTAAAGTGGTACAATTAGCATCGCTCCCCTTCCTGGTCCCCTGAAACCTGCAATGATTGGCAATGAGGTTGAGGAGACCCAAGAGAAAAACAAGGGACAGACCAGAACACTGTTTTCTTTTTTTAAAATGTTTTTATTGATTTTAGAGAGAGAGGAAGGGAGAGGGATAGAGAGAGAAACACACTGATTGGCTGCCTCCTGCACACCCCCTTACTGGGGATGGATCCCACAACCTGGGCATGTGCCCTGACTGGGAATTGAACCTGTGACCTCTTGATTCCTGGGTCAACATTCAGCCAACTGAGCCACACCAGCCAGGCTCTTTTCTTGATTTTTATGAAATTTACTGATTTTTAAAATATGTGGATGAAATAAAACACTTCTTTGGGCTGACTTTGGCCTTGTGGGCTCCCACTTTGCAAACCTGCAGTAGCAGCTCGGATTTCAATTGATGGAGTCAGGCCTGCTCCTCTAAAGTGACTAAAGGGCACCTAGTGTAACCCTTTACCCATCACCTGCTGGGAAGTCTCCGGGGATGCAGAGCTCACCTCTTAGGAGGCCCCATTCATTTCCAGATCACTTAAACCCCTCGCACAGAAGGGCCTTGGAGAGGTGGATGGACTCAGGCTGGCCCACCTCTCTCGCTTACTCTGGTTCCAAGAGGAGGTTCGGGTACAGGTGAGTTTCTGCGAGGCTGGTGTTGTGCTGGCATCATGTCCCTGGAGCTTCTGCTTGTTGTTCTGGTTTCACTAGCAGGGAGTGAAATGCAATCTCCCTTCTACATGACTGACCTGTGTACAAATTAAGACCATCTGGGCCCTGCCCCATCCAGGTGTTCTCTTTTCAGGCTAAATGCTCTTGTTTTTTCCAACCATGCAGTTCCTAGTTGTTGTAGCCTCTGGTTAGAGGGAGGGGGGGATCTATGGAAGGAGGCAGGTGGATAGTAGCAGGAACCTTCAGTGTGGCTTTATCTTTACTCAGAATTGTTTTTCTTCAGTTGGCAATGTCTTCTAACACTTTTGTTTAACTATGTTTCCATGTTTTTAGTAGTGTGAAATACAATGTGGGCTTTTAATGCACAGTCTCTTTCAGAATTCAAATACTTAAAAAAAAGCCATTTACAGAGAAGAATCTAACTGTATGACACCTCTCATTTTTCAAAGTTCTGTACTAAATTTTTTTAATACAGACAAATTTATAGTTGTTTGAAAGTGAACATTGACCAAGTCCAGAGAGCAGCCATTTTCATCAGAGGTTCTTGAGCCAACAGAAGGTCATCTGGCTACACAGAATCCCCAAGCATCGTTTGGACTGTTCTGTTGCAAAACAGAGAAGACAGAACACTATGAGCACCACTAAAAGCTTTCTGTGTCTGAAGTATTTTTCCCTTTTTTAAAAGATATGAAATACACACTCTTCCAATATTGGCCTTACCCAATATCACATGTATGTATGTGTATGTGTGTGCATACATGTGTATGTATATGCATACTATATATACGGATATTTACGTATGTCATAAATCAACATGAGCCCATCTAGTCAGTTAATGAGCTTTTGCTGGTTCTGTAACACTGATTTTGTGACTTAACTCTTACCTTCAAGACTTGAAGAGAGTCATCAGATTTGTTATAAAAGCAGGAAGGAAGAAGCCATACTGACTTTGCTGTTGGCAGGGGGAAGGGGCTGCAGGTCTGTTTTAGGCCCATTTCCTGATGTATCTTCCAGGCACTGGTGTCCAGTGGCGAGACCTCCTGAGTCCTGTCAATGTGGACGATGACTTCTCCTTTGGGCAAGTGCTGGGTATGCTGCTGTTGGACTCTGTCCTCTACAGCCTGGTGACCTGGTACGTGGAGGCCATCCTCCCAGGGCAGTTTGGTGTGCCCCAGCCCTGGTACTTCTTCATCATGGTGAGTCCTGATGCCCCTGCTCCTCATGCTGGCCACCTGGGGGTGAGGGTTGCAGGTTTCCCCAGCACTTACTCGGGGCCCTCTCCAGTCCCTGACAGTCAGTGCCTAGTTGGGCCAGGATATAGGACCTACCCTGCGCTCAGTTGGTGAGTAGTATATCCTAAGGGCTCTGAGACTACCCCCACCTCCGGAGGTGATCCCTGCACTCCAGGGTCTGAGAGACAGAGCTGGAACTGGCCCACCACCCACAGCACCAGCACACCCTCACCCTCAGCCTCTCTTTCTTGTCACTTGTTGGGTTTTCTGTGCACAAAGTAATATAGCTTCTTGTAAAAATGATAGCATTTCTGGAATATACAGCACAGTCCCACTATCCAGAGATGAACACTGCTGACATTTTGCTGTGTAGTTCTTCCAATTTTTTTCTATACATAGACTTCCCACTAGCATACATGGATGTGTATATATCACGTATACATTTATTTTTAGAAAAAGGGATCATATTGTAAAAATGCTTCAAACTTGCTTTTTTTAACCTATGAGTACACCTTACATATCTTAAGTACATATATGGGTCCATTTATAAACATATTTTTAGATTTTTGTTTCTACATATTTATAAATTTTGTTTTATTTATAAATATATCCATATTTAAATATATGCATATTTATGAGTCAACTTCATTTTTTAATGACTGCATAGTATTTCATGGATGTCCCACCATGTATTTAACAAATTTCCTACTGATGGTTAGTTAGGTGTCACTTCAATGTTTATTCTTTGATTCAACAAGTATTTATCAAGTGTCCACTACATAATCGATCAAATCTAAAATGCCACTGATTCTTAGAGGCACTGTTACTTTATTACTAAGAAAGAAAATTACAGTTAGTATTTTAATACTGTGGCATTCCATGATTTCTAAGATACAGTCTGATTTCAAAGTCACTTAAAATGGTCAAAATGTGTGGCTTAAAACCTGTGGATTATGGTGTACCAGAACTACTCCAGGCACTGGAAATACCCTGGGGACATAGCTATGAGATAAATTCTCCCCTCAAAGGCTTACCTCTGCTGAGAGTTCTTCCAGGGCCCTGTTCTCACCTTACCTGTGGCCCTGCCCATGTCCCTGTTACCTATGCCTGCAGGCCTCCCTTGAGGGTGGGGCATATGTACAGTTTGTGATTATATTCTTGCCCCTTGCACAGCCTGTCCCTGTGATGGCCAGAAAGAGGGTGGAGGGCATTGTCCTCTAGACAGGGCAGGAGGTTGTCCTTGTCTAGACAAAGGGTAGAGAGTCATTCTCTAGACAGGGTGGGGTGAGGCTTCTTCATAGAATAGGAAGCCTGGCCCTTTGGCTTCTCCTGCCTAGTTCACGAGCTTCTGTGTAGGTGAGTAAGGGAGCAGTTGGGGGCATGGAGACACAGCCTCCTTCATTTTCTGCCCAGATATCACTCGACTGGAACATTTAATAACCTGTCTGTTTTAAATGCCATTGTTTGCTTTCCCTTCATGTCACATCTGAGTTGATATGATAGGACAAGAAGCCTGTGAGTTGCCATCATGCCGTATGGCAAATTAGGAAGCTAGGAGTAGAGAGTGGGGGGCTATGCTGGATCCTGACCCAGCCCTGGGCTCTAAGCAGTGTCTCCTCTGCAGCAACTTATGAGAAGGAAGACTGAGGGCCAGCTTCTGGGTGTTTAGCATGTCAGTTAGTTGTTACTCTGTTTGTCATAAACACAATGACCTGATATGAATCAGCCATCTGAGACCCATCTGATTTCCAATCTAGCCCTCATATTGGTGCGGGCACCCAAGAACAGTTTCGGGGAAGGAGGAAGAAGACCATGACCCTGAGAAAGCCCTCAAGACAGAGTACTTTGAAGCTGAACCAGAGAACCTGGTAGCTGGGATCAAGATCAAGCACATATCCAAGGTGTCACACCCTGTGGGGACAGGCACGGAAGGGGGACTTCGGAGTCACAGGTGTTAAGAGCTGCTGCCTCGCCCATGGCTCTCTCCAAGCTGATGACTTTCTCTGGGCCTTGTTGCCTCCTGGATCCTTGGGGCTGCTCTCTGACCAGCTCTCCCAGGCACTGGCCACCACTCAGACTGTGTCCACAGGGCCCAATGTGGAGACTCCGGGTTGAGTCAGTAATGTGTGCCCCTGCTCAGACTTAACCTCTCAGCAGCTTTGCAGTGAACGCTTGCTGTGCTGGCTGCACAGTGAGGCCCTAGCCTCACAGGTGTTTGATGCCAGATGCCAGGGATATTGGGAACCTGTTGGGGGTCGGGGAGGCAGAGACCAGTGGGAGGCAGCATGGCCACCAGTCAGCACTCTGTCCAAAACTTCCCACCTCTGCCTGCTGACTGGGGACACTGGGAGTGGGAGGGACCCATGGAGTAAGTTCCTGAGGGCCCCTGAAGTCAGGGCCGCCTCTGCCCCTCCTGCAGGTGTTCAGAGTGGGAAACAAAGGCAAAGCAGCTGTCAGAGACCTGAACCTGAACCTGTATGAGGGGCAGATCACTGTCCTACTCGGCCACAATGGTGCAGGAAAGACCACCACCCTCTCAATGCTCACAGGTGAGGGGCCACATGGCCACCATGGCAGGAGCCGGGTGACCAGCAAACCCACTCACAGGCGGGTGCTCAGGTAAATCGAGGTAAAAGTGCATCACGTGACGAGGCCATTGCACCTCGTGCTGACTGGCAGGATGTTCAACTGAACCTAAGCCTTTGGTCTTCTCCTTGGCCTTAGGTCTTTTCCCCCCGACCAGCGGGCGGGCGTATATCAACGGGTATGAAATTTCACAAGACATGGTTCAAATCCGGAGGAGCCTGGGCCTTTGCCCACAGCACGACGTCCTGTTTGACAACCTGACAGTTGCAGAGCACCTGTATTTTTATGCTCAGGTGAGCCAGCAGGGCGTGGGCTTCAGAGGTTGTCCTTGTCCCGTTTGTTCCCTAGCCTGCATGCTTGGGTGCCCCAGGCAGCCAGCTGAGCCCTCAGCCTCCGGGCAAACCTAGACCTGCTCCAAGGAGCCTCCCATACACTTGGAGTAGGGGAGGCGGGAGGGAAGCCAGAACTTGGGTACCCGTACACAAAGGATGAGGCAATGCCAAGGCTAAGTGGCTCCCTGGGTGGCCCCCGTCGGCAGCCCCTTCCAGATTTCTGTGCCCCCTGCTCTTTCAGCTGAAAGGCTCGTCCCGCCAGAAGTGCCCTGAAGAGGTCAAGCAGATGTTGCACATCCTGAGCCTGGAGGACAAGCGGGACTCCCGCAGCAGGTTCCTGAGCGGGGGGATGAAGCGCAAGCTGTCCATCGGCATCGCCCTCATAGCGGGCTCCAAGGTACAGGGCAGCAGGCCTGATCCCCCAAAGAGCACAGGTCAGGGCTCCCGTATGCAGTGGGCAAATACCTGTGGTAGCGGGCTCCCAAGGCATTGCCCTCTAGCTCCCACTCGGCCTGGGCTGGCTGCTGGCTCTGCAGCTGTGGCTCAGGAACCTTGGCCCTGGGCACCCTCGATGGGCAGTCTGGTGAGGGTGGTACTGCTGCATCTTTGTGGAACTTGAGCTGCACAGGGCCGACGATGCAGCGAGCCCAGGCCTGTTCACAGGCTGTTCCTCTGCCCTCCAGGTGCTGATGCTGGATGAGCCCACCTCAGGCATGGATGCCGTCTCCAGAAGGGCCATCTGGGACCTTCTTCAGCAACAGAAAAGTGACCGCACCATCCTGCTGACCACCCATTTCATGGATGAGGCCGACCTGCTCGGGGACCGCATTGCCATCATGGCCAAGGGGGAGCTGCAGTGCTGTGGGTCTTCACTGTTTCTCAAACAGAAATATGGTGAGTGGGAAGTGGGGTGGACAATCCATCCTCCATTCTATGTGGGGCAGTGTCACTGGCCCAGTGTGCTGAACAAAGTGCCCTGTGTTGCCCTGGCCAGTGTTTCCCAGTGGTTAGAGTGTCAGCCTATGCACCTAAGAGTCAAGCCCCAGTTGGGGCACATGCGGGAGGCAACCAATCGGTGTGTCTCTCTCACATCAATGTTTCTCTCTCTCTTTCTCTCCCTCCCTCCCTCGCTTCTACTCTCCCTAAAAAATCAATGGAAAAAAATATCCTCAGGTGAAGATTAACAAAAAAAAGGGAAGAAAGTGCCCACTGTTAACTTTCATGAAAGTAAAAGTGAGATCAGGCAGGGAGAGAGCTTCCCTAGACTTCCTGCTACCTCTGGATGGAGACCCAGGGCCCTAGGCAGAGGGGATTGTAATAATGAAGAGGGAGGGAAGTGGAGCAGATAGTTTTGATTTGATTAGAAAAACAATCAGTCACAATCAATGGAATAACAGTCGAGAGCCAGGGCTGACAAGATTAGCATTGCCGTTGGAGAGGCCAAGTATGTTTGCCAACGTTGCAGCTTTCAAACCAGCAAGTGGCCTGCGACATGGTCCATGACTGGTGAGTGGCATGTGGAATCAGGACCCTCTTTGCTACATAGGCATGGACTTCCTTTCTCGAGGGCAGCTCATGGTCCAGTATGCCAGGTCCCATTCATGTTCTACCAGTGGGAAGGAGCAAAGACAGAAGACAAGATACCCCAAGCGTTGCATACCTTCCTTCTGCAGCTTCTTCTGGCCAGCACACTACCCTGTCAAGTAGATGGTGACCCAGTGTAGTCATCATCAGGCTGGTGGAGACTGGACAGGGTGGCCTCCATCCTGGGGTTCCATTCCTGAGAAAGCAAGAACAGGTCTTCTGGACAGCATCTACCACAGCCTCTGAGACTTGAAGTCTGAAGTCTGCCTTGGGTTCCACCTCTTTATCATGCTCAGCGCTCAAGTTCGCCATCATCTCTACCCAGCTAGGGAGCAGGAGGCAAGACCCTCAGGATAGGTCTGAGGAGTTCTGAGATGCATTCATTCTGGTTCAGTTGCCCCCTTGCTCTCCAGCCCCTTTCCCATGAGCCTGCTATGGTCATGAGCCCAAAGGCCCTGGGTAGGCCAAGAGACATGGGAGACAGCTTCATATGTGGGGCTCACTGTGTTCCAGGTGCAGGCTACCACATGACGCTAGTGAAGGAGCCTCACTGCAACCCAGAGGGCATCTCCCGGCTGGTCCACCACCACGTCCCCAACGCCTCCCTGGAGAGCAGTGCAGGAGCAGAGCTGTCATTCATTCTTCCCAAGGAGAGCACACACAGGTACAGATCCAAGAATGGGGCTCAGTGGGCCTTAAGGGCTCCATGCTTAGGGTCACCTACCCTGCACCTGTCAGGCCTGGCCAGTGGGCATCTCTCAGGTCCTGGGCCTGTGACAGTCAGCATATGGTGAATCTGTTTTCTGGGTCTAGGGTGCCAGGCCTCCCTATCCAGTGGAGCTGAGAGAAACATCAGTTGTACCTGAGAAGCAGAAAAATGTCTTACTCGTCAAAGGGGAGCTCAGTGCATTGGTCACACTGGGTGAAGCATGCACAGCAACCTATCCAGAGGTCTCTGTGGAACTGTAAATTTGTATGTCTTCTTGGTCTTAGAATTTGAATCACAGACACATGCCTCATAAATACAGCAGACTACCAGTGAGGGGAGGTAAAAAACCAAACTCGATTCACATTCTGAAACTTTGGGACATAAATCTTTTTTTATATATATGCGTTTATTGATTTCAGAGAGAGGAAGGGAGAGGGAGAGGGAGAGAAAGAATCATCAATGATGAGAGAGAGTCATTGATCAGCTGCCTCCTGCACGCCCCCTACTGGGGATCAAGCCCACAACCCAGGCATGTACCCTGACTGGAAATTGAACCCTCTCCTCAATCATACATCGATGCTCAACCACTGAGCCATGCTGGCCAGGCAGGACATAAATCTTAAAAATACATTTCATCTTGCTACAAGCCTGATTGAGTAATGTGGTTTTAATAGCCGCATAGTGGTCCCTGACACAGATATATCATAATTTGTATGTAATATCTACTCTATTACCACGTGCTCATGGTTTTCCAAAAAAATATGCTAATGAACATCCTTCTAGAAAACTCTTTGTCCAGATTTCCAGTGATCCCCTTAGGATAGATTTCTGAAAGTGGGGTAAATAAGACCAAATTACCTTCTAGAAAGGTGGTGTGGCCGTAGCTGGTTTGGCTCAGTGGCTAGAGCGTTGGCCTGCAACTGAAGGGTCCCAGGTTTGATTCCAGCCAAGGGCATGTACCTGGATTGCAGGCTCCATCCCCAGCCCAGGCCCAAGCGTGTGTGGGAGGCAACCAGTCGATGTTTTCTCTATCTCTCTTCCACTCTCTCTGAAAAGCAATGGAAAAATATCCTCAGGTGAGGATTTAAAAAAAAGGAAGAAAGGTGGTGTTTGGCTTCCTATCAGAGTGATAGAAGAGTGTCAATTTTACTCCATGGTTGCCAGGTTTGAGTAAATTCTTAAAAAATATTTGTGTATCTGATGGGTGAAAAATGGTACATACTTGCTTAATTGGCATTTTGTATTTCTTCCACTCCTGCTGGTGGGAAGTTGAACATATTCAGTGCTTACAGGTCTTTAAGCCATGTTTCTTTTGTATATTATGTGTTCATATCTCTTGCTCATTTATCAGTTAGAGTGTTTTATATGTAGTTGACCCTTGAACAATGTGGGACTTAGTGGCACCGATTCCCCCCACCCTTGCACAGTCAAAATCCACATATAAATTTGGCTCCCCAAAATCTTAACTGCTAATAATAGCGTACTGTTTACCAAAAGCCTTACCGATAACATAAACAGTCGATTAACTCATGTTTTTTATGTTATATGTATTATACTGTATTTGTATAATAAAACAAGCTGGATAAAAGAAACTGTTATTAAGAAAATCAGAAGGAAGAGAAAATACATTTATAGTACTGTATTTTTCTTTTTCTTTTCTAAATATGTCTTTATTGATTTCAGAGAGAGGAAGGGAAAGGGAGAGAGAGCGAGAAACATCAATGATGAGTCTTCATTCATCGGCTGCCTCCTACACGCCCCCTACTGGGGATCGAGCCTGCAACCCGGGCATATGCCCTGACCGGGAATTGAACTGTGATCTCCTAGATCATAGGTCGATGCTCAACTGCTGAGCCACGCTGGCCAGACTGTATTTTTCTTTCAAGAGAGAGGAAGGGAGAGAGAGAAAGAAATATCGATGTGAGAGGAACATCTATGGGCTGCCTCCTGTATGCGCCCCAACTGGGGACCAAACCTGCCACCTGGGTATGTGCCCTGAGCAGTGAACCTGCCATCTTTTGGTGCACAGGATGACGCTCCAACCAACTGAGCCACACCAGCCAGGGCTGTGTATTCTTTGAAAAAATTTGCATGTAACTGGACCCATGTAGTTCAAACCATGTTGTTAATTAATATCAACCATTTTTGTTGCAACTTTCCAATTTGTAGTTGCCTGATTTTGTGGGATTTTTTTTCATGCAGATACTCTACATTTATTTTTATTTTATGTTTTGTTTTATTGATATTAGAGAGAGGTAAGGAGAGGGAGAGAGAGAGAGAGGAAAACATCGATTGGTTGCCTCCCATACTGGGTATTGAACTGTGCCCCTGCTGAGAATTGAACTAGTGACCCTTCAGTGCACAGGATGAAGCTCCAACCAATGGAGCCACACTGGCCAGGGCACATACTTTACATTTAATGGATTATATGTTTTTCCTTCTGATTTCTTTGTAGAAATTTTTTTCCCTGCCCTGCAGTCAAATGAATATTCACTAATTGCTTTTCTTTTTTTTTTAATACATCTTTATTGATTTCAGAGAGAAGAAGGGAGAGAGAGAGAAATAGAAACACCAGTGATGAGGGAGTTGTCATTGATCGGCTGCCTCCTGCAGGCCCCCAACTGGGGATCGAGCCTGCAAACTGGGCATGTGCCCTGACCGGGAATCGAGCCATGATCTCCAAGGTCCTAGCCTAGGTTGATGCTCAACCACTGAGCTACACCTGGCCAGGCTTCACCAGTTGCTTTTGGTTGGTTTTATCATCTCATGTAGGTGTATACTATCAAAGAATGCCTGTGTACTCACAAGATGTTACATGGAAGAAAAAAGGGGGGGGAGGAAACCCTGGCCCATAGTTCAGTTGGTTAGATCATTGTCCAGATATGCCAAGGTTTCAGGTTTGATCCCTGGCCAGGGCACTTAAGTGGAACAACAAATCCATCTGTTCCCCACCCCGCCGCCTTTTCTTCCCCTCTCTCTTCCTCTCTCTCTCTAAAATCAATTTTTTTTAAAAAGGCAGGGAACAAACCCTGACTTATTTTTTTTGAAGTGACATTTATCTCAAGGGGCTCACTTCTTTGACCCTCCCCCATACTACATGGAGGTGATTATTTAGGAATGAATTACCTGGAAAGTCACTGAAAAGGGACTCATCACTCTGGGTCTTTTTTCAGGTTTGAAAGTCTTTTTGCTAAACTGGAGAAGAAGCAGAAGGAGCTGGGCATTGCCAGCTTTGGAGCCTCTGTCACCACCATGGAGGAAGTCTTCTTACGGTCAGTAAATGTGCGTTTCCATTAGTTTAGGGCTCAGAAGATTTTTTTTTAAGTGTAATGATAAAGCAGTGCCCTCAATTACAATTTCTTATACCCATCTGAGGGTAGATGTATGCTTGGGGTGGAAGCAGGGCAGTGGGCCAGCTATCGGCCTGAGGTCAAATCATGACTCTGTTATTAAGACCTGCATGAACCCAGTGAGGTTTCTGACATGTGCAACAATTTAGAAAAGGAGAGCAGCTGTGCCCCGATCATGTTGGGAGTGTGTGTGCTTCCCCTGGTGTCTCTCCTGGGAGCACCATGGCAACAACAGGGTTACCAAACTCTTCTCAGGCTCAGAAGGTAGTCCAGAGCGTGCCTCTGTCCATAATGAAGATGTGAAACTTAGCATTCAGACCCTCAGAACTGCAGGGTGAGCTCGATATAAGTGATGCATCTATCAGGCATTTTGTTGAATGCTTATTTGGCAGATATAATGCTAAGAACTAGAAATGCAAAAATAGGATGTGAGGTAGGTGTTTTTCCTTGAGGACCCATGGCCTAGAGCAGGCAACAGAATAAGTGAAAGTAAACACAGTGTAGTATCATGCCCCAAGCATCCTCCTATCCCCTTGGAAAGCCCTAGTTATAAATGCGGACCTTTGTTAATCTCCCCTTGAGACTGGGATTCCCGTGAGCAGGGTCCCTGTCTGCTTGTCTTTCTCTCCTGGACTTTCCTTGGCTGCAGTAGCTGGCGTTCTGGAGATATTTACTGATGAATGAATGAATGAACAAACTAGCCAATGAAGCTGATGGCATTCTACTTTAGTGTCTCTGACAGTCACCCTTTCCCCCTCTGCTTCCCTTCTCTATGGAACAATAGCTTCTCCCTCCCTGAAGAGTCTAGTTATGACCAGGCCGCGTGTGTTTTGGTGCAGGGTTGGTAAGCTGGTAGACACCAGCATGGACATCCAGGCCATCCAGCTGCCTGCCCTGCAGTACCAGCATGAGAGGCGGGCAAGCGACTGGGCAGTGGACGGCAACCTGTGCGGGGTGATGGACCCAACTGATGGCATCGGTGCCCTGATTGAGGAAGAGTGCACTGCCATCAAACTCAACACAGGGGTGAGTGCTGGGGTCCAGAGCGGGGCAGCGCAGGATTGAGAGAACCCTAAGCCCCACATGTTAAGGCTTCATGAGGGCAAATGTGGACTTTGGGAGGAAGAGGGTAGATTACAGCTTGTGCTCCCATGGGTTGGCAGGAGGAAGGAAAACTCGGAGCATTTTTATTGAGCAGTTGTAATTTCTTAATGTTCTAACTTGGCCACTAACGAATAAGGGCAAATCTTTGCTTATAACAGCGCTCCCTTCACCAAGATCTTGGCTTGTGCCAGCATTTGATGAGGTAGAGACAGCACTAATCCCATTTTATAGACAGGAAACTGAGGTCTGAGCCAAGGTCACATGGCCAGCATGTGGCAGACCTGGGGATTGATCCTTGTGCCTCTCTCCACACTTAAGAAGACAGTGAAGGGGTGAAGTTAGGGAATATGGGCAGCTGAGGGACATTTTTTGTCTGCACACGCAGCCGAGGTCCTCATACGAGGGGCAAGGGGAGGCAGAGGCCTCAGCAGGAGAGCTGTGGGATCATAGCCAGTCTCCTGATGTCCTATCACAAGGAAACAGTGCCTGCCCTGCCTCCGTTGCTGTTGCAAGACCCCCTGACGCTCACATAGGGACCTGCTGGGACGTGTACACATGTGTTCTGCGTGTCATTGACTGAGCCCTGCGAGAAGTTCAGGGGCCCCAGGGCACAAATGTCAGCCAACCCCAGGCTCACATGGGAACCACACCTGCTGCTGGTCAGATGCTGGCTCCTGAGTGGCAGCCATGTCACCTCATCCTCTCTACTGCAGCTCACCCTCTACTGCCAGCAGTTTTGGGCCATGTTCCTGAAGAAGGCCGCGTACAGCTGGCGGGAATGGAAGATGGTAGCGGCCCAGGTCCTGGTCCCTGTGATGTGCATTACCCTGGCCCTCCTGTCCATCAACTACTCCTCCGAGATCTTTGACGACCCCATCTTGAAGCTGACCTTGGCCGATTATGGCAGAACCGTTGTGCCCTTCTCAGTTCCTGGGACCTCTCAGCTGGACCAGCAGCTGTCTGAGCATTTGAAGGACATGCTGCAGGCTGATGGCCAGGAGCCTCGTGAAGTGTTGGGTAAGGGGCTTCCCTGGGGTTCAGGACCTGAGCTGTGTTGTTAGAGGCTGTTTTTCCAACCAGGGCACTGTAGATATTTGGGGTAGTTAGATCTTCACTGCCCTGTGCACTGTAGGACTCCTGCTCCCCTACCCCCACACCATCATGACAACCAAAAATGCCTCCAGACATTGCCAGGTCTCCTCAGGGGAGAAAATTGTTGAGTCAGAAGACACAAGACAGCATCTCAAGTCCAAACTTTGTCCAAGTGCTCATTTCCTAAAGTTTTATATTTAGGAGCATTCAGAGGAAATATGAAACTTCGATGATCTTTATGTTGCCTTTTCTTTGTTTGCTAGGCTGGTCACAGGTATGCGTTATTGGGACACAGCGTCTGTTTCCATCATCCTAAAACCAGCACTATCCCATGTCCCTAGTGGTGGGAGTTGGACACTGCCCTGGGTTTAGAGCCAGCATTACTCTAGTTACATGGACTGTGCTTGAAGGTTTTCTTCTTTTACTGCTCCCTTCTCACTTCTTGGCCAGCTACTTTGAGATTCAGCATACTGAGTGGTCACAAAATCTTGGCAGGAATTAAGTTCTTCTTTATTATTATTATTATTATTTTAAATCTATCTTTATTGATTTCAGAGAGAGGAAAGGAGAGGGAGAGAGAGAGCTAGAAACATCCATGATGAGAGAGTCATTGATCGGCTGCCTCCTGCATGCCCCCGACTGGGGACTGAGCCCAAAACCCGGACATGTGCCCATGGGAATCGAACTCCAATCTCCTTGATCCTAGGTCGACGCTCAACCACTGAGCCATACCCGGCCGGGCAGGTTCTTCTTTAACTGAACTTACAGGCAGCCTAGAATGGGCTGGCACTGTGATGGGCACTGCACTAGGCAGGAGCTCCTGCAGCCCAGAGTCCCCACGTGGCCCTGCTAGTGATTGTGACCCTGACTAGCCCTATTGAAACAATATGGATGCCCCTCTTTGTCCCCCATGTGCCCCCCTGCCTGTTTTCTGGCTGTCACCTAGCCTGACCCAAAGATTGTGGGGCTCTCGTGGTGCACAGTGGCTCTGGGGGATTCAGGACTCTGCCATAGATGCCCCAGCCTGAGTCCATCTGGAAGGTTGAATTACCTGTTCACTTGTCAAGTGTGGGGCCTTTTGTTTCTGACCACCACACTGCATGGTTTTATTACCCTATACTTAGGTAATGGCAACAGGCCTTGATGGAAGCCAGTGTAAATATCAGTACTAGGATTCACTGATCTGTCCCTATCTCCTCCCTGACCCTTGGGTCCTACAGTGTGGGTGTCATTGCTGTTCCATTTTACAGCTGAGTGAGAGGCAAGGCTAGAGTAGTGAGCCTGTGTGCGGGGTGTAATGGCCCGTGGACAGTTTCTGTGAGCATGGAAGGTTGTGTGTCCTTCCCATGGTTCCTCCAGGCCTTCAGAGCTCCCCTGAGTGTGGGCCTTGGGGGCTAGTCATCCACATTGCTGACTCTGCCATTGCCCCCCAGGTGACCTGGAGGAGTTCCTGATTTTCAGGGCCTCAGTGGAGGGAGGAGGCTTCAATGAGCGGTGCCTGGTCGCAGCATCCTTCAGAGATGTCGGCGAGCAGACAGTCATCACCGCCCTTTTCAACAACCAGGCATACCACTCCCCAGCCACTGCGCTAGCCATTGTGGACAACCTCCTGTTCAAGCTGCTGTGTGGCCCTCGGGCCTCCATTACAGTCTCCAACTACCCCCAGCCCCGGAGCGCTCTGCAGGCCGCCAAGGACCAGTTCAATGAGTATGTGCACTGCCCCCCCATCCCTGTCCCCCAGCAGGACTCCATCCCCATTAGATCAGACCCCTGCCCCCTACTTTCAGGACAGGTCATCAGAACTGACCACCTTGGCACTGCCAGGGGCCACCAAGGGCCATGGAGGTGGATAGAGCATGGTTTCTGTCCTCAGGAAACTTCCAGTTCTTGGCTGGGGAATCCTCACCCGTCTCTCTCAGTCCTCCGTTTTCGCCCTTGTGTTGGATAGCAAATAAGCTATTGAGACTCCATCCCACATACCCTGAGGTCCCTGCAGGGAGCTCCTGAAGATTTAGAGGGTGGCCATGTCCTCTTCCCAAATCTGCGCCCCGCTCCTGCGAGCCACTGTCCCCAGCACACACTCATGCTCACGGCAGTGCCTGGCTGTGTGTGTGTGTGAGCGAGGACAGCAGAACACAGCAATATCAAGTGCTCTTGCTTCTTGATGGCCTCGAGTCAGGGAGCCCAGGAGGCATTTCTCTCAGGCCTTGTCATGGCATCATGTGTGTCAGACTCTCGACCTCATCCCTGTCACGGAGCCCCCAAAACTCTGGGACCATCCAGAGGAAGCCAAGAATACCAGTTAATTTCAGAACAATCACTCCATTTCAGGGCAGCTTATTAATGGGGGAGGTTGGTTCATCTCTACCCCCCATTCTAGACTGCCCTGAGCCTCACCACATCATCTTCTCCCTCTGCTGCTCCCATTTCTACCCCAAAAGAAGAGACCCAGTGGCAGTCATTTGCTCTCCCTGTTATATCGGAAACAGAGAAGCCAAAGATAAATATTCGTGATAGAGCAGATGGCAGGGCTTTGAAATGATTCATAAAATGCTGGGAAGGGGCTTCCTCTTAATTGAGACATCAGGAAGCTGGGGAGCCTTCAGACCTGGGCAGGGTCATCAGCAGCTACAGGCAGGGGCTGTGATGGGGGCATCTAGAGGTGGCAGCTGCCTCCTGATAGGCGCCAAACTAGGAGACCCAGAGGCGAGGCTGAGCAGATTCAAGTGTAGTATGTTAAGAGTGGACCAGGTAGCAGGAATTTTTGTTTTAACAGCTTAGGAGACATAATTCACCTATCATACAGTATCCCTGTTTGTTATACAATTATATGGTTATTAGTATATTCACAGAGTCATGGAGCCATCATCACAATGTAATTTTTTAAGATAATTGACATATAACATTGTTAGTTTCAGGTATACAACATCATGGTTTGATACATGTACAGTAAGTCTAGTTAACACCCATCACCATACATAGTTACAAATATTTTTTCTTGTGATAAGAACTTTTAAGATTTATTGTCTTACAGCTTTAAAATATGTAATATAATATTATTAACTGTGGTCACCATGCTGTACATTACATTCCCATTACATATATTTAATAACTGGAAGTTTATACCTTTTGACCCCCTTCGCCTATTTTGCCCATGCCCCACGTCTGGTAATCACCAAGCTGTTCTCTGTATCTATGAGTTTTGTTAAATTTGGGGGGGGGGGTTTGGTTTTGGTTTTTTGATTTTTTGTGTTTTTTTTCAGATTCCACATGTGAGATCATACAGTGTTTGTCTTTCTCTGTATGACATGTTTCACTTAGCATAATTGCTCAAGGTCTATTCATGTTGTCACAAATGGCAGGATTTCTTTCTTTCTTATGGTCGTATAATGTTGAGATGCATATTACGTTTCCCTTAGCTGTTCATCCATTGATGGACACATGTTGTTTCCATGGCTTGGCTATTGTGAATAATGCTGCTGTGAACATGGGGATGCAGCTGTCTTTTCAAGTTAGTATTTTTATGTCCTTCATGTAAATACCCAGAGGAATTGCTGGATCATATGGCAGTTCTATTTTTAATTTTCCAAGGAAATGTCACACTGTTTTCCATAGTGGCTGTACCAAGTTACATTCCCATCAATGGTGCACAAGGGGTTCCCTTTAACCCACATTCTCACCAATACTTGTTATTTGTCTTTTTTATAACAGGCATTCTAACAGGTGTTAGGTTATATCTCATTGTGGCTTTGATTTGCATTTCCCTGATGATTAGGGATGTTGAGCATCTTTTCGTGTGCCTGTCGGACCACAATATAATTTCATGTAACGATTCATCATCCCAAAAAGACACCCTGTGACCACTGGCAGTCATTCTCCATTCCTCTCTCCATCTCCTAGCAGCTACTAGTCTACTTTCTGTTTCCATGGATTTGCCTGTTTTAGACATTTCATGTAAATGGAATCATGTAATATGTGGCCTTTTGTGACTAGTTTCTTTCACTTTTAAGGTTCATTTATGTTGTAGCATGTGTCAGTACTCCTTTTTGAGGCCAATTAGTATCCATTTGTCCCATTACCATGTATTGAAATGGTCAGGATGTGTTTAAGCAACAGAATAATGCCATTAAAGCCAGTTTGTAGAAGGTGTTGTTGGCACCTGAGTGTAGAATGTAGAATGCACTTGACAGGGTGGGGGGAGATGAGCTGCTGCAGCAATATAGGCACTCAGTAAGCGGTGTCTAACGAAGGCAGGACAGAGAGAACCAGGCAGAGGGTTCTCAGATGTGGGAAAGGCAGAGCGACACCTGAGTGTCTATGGGGAGTGGGTGGCACAGAGGACATATTGAAGGTGACTGGGAAAGTGGAACTACCATTATCGGAGACAGGAAATGCAGAGGAGGAGCTGTTCTTGGTGGGGGTGAAGGGTATGTTCCTGAGTACTGAGACCCTCCCGCAACTCTGGCATTTTCTCTTAACCCCCTTTAGTGGCTGGGTCCTGCATCGCATGCTTTGAATGGTAGTGACCAAGGACCCAATCCCCCAGCTACCCAGAAGTGCTGTGTTCTATCCCTGACCTGCCCTGTCCCCCCCAACCCCTGCAGGGGCCGGAAGGGATTTCATATCGCCCTCAACTTACTCTTCGCCATGGCATTCTTGGCCAGCACGTTTTCCATCCTGGCAGTCAGTGAGAGGGCTGTCCAGGCCAAGCATGTCCAGTTTGTGAGTGGAGTCCACGTGGCCACTTTCTGGCTCTCAGCTCTGCTGTGGGACCTCATCTCCTTCCTCATCCCCACTCTGCTGCTGCTGGTAAGGGCCACAGCTGGTACTGGGACCCTTCCCTGCATGTCCAGGGAGCTTGCCCTGGGGCCCCTGTGCAGACCAGAACTAGCCCAGGGTCCGTCCTGACAGTCAGCTCTGATTCCAGGAGGACAGTTGGGAATGCCAGGGAGCCCCCTCGTTGGTCTCCATGCCCTCAGCTTCTGCCCCCCTTTGGTAGGCAGGGCCCTAGAGCCAGGTGCCCTGGTGACAGTTCTGTCAGCAAAGGGGAGGAGGGGGAACCTCATCAGGGCAGATCCCAGGGCTGAAAACCACCACAGGAGATGACTCAGCCTGTGGGTCCTGGGCCTGGGCACCTGCGTTGCTCTGCAGGCATACCAAGCCACCCTCTCTGTGCTGCTGCAGGTGGTGTTCAGAGCCTTTGACGTGCATGCCTTCACACGGGACGGCCATGTGGCCGACACCCTGCTGCTGCTCATGCTCTACGGCTGGGCGATCATACCCCTCATGTATCTGATGAACTTCTTTTTCTCGGGGGCAGCCACTGCCTACACAAGGCTGACCATATTCAACATCCTGTCAGGCATCGCCACCTTCCTCATGGTCACCATCATGCGCATCCCAGGTGGGAGCCTGGAAACTGCCCCTACTCCCCACAACCTGGATACCCATGGAACCTCTCGGCCCCAGTGTGGAGGTGCGGGGGGGTATGGGGTGCTACCAGTGCAGACGCTGGGCCAGACCAGACGCCGGCAGCACCTCTCCTTGCATTTGTAGCAGAACCGGTGGGGCCATGCCCTGGGAGGTGGTGTCCCAGGAAGGCCTGGGCATGGTCTGTGGAGGACACCTAGCTGGATGCCCTGGCTTATGCACACTTCATAGGGAACATCAGGAACCTGCTTTCCCTGATACGATCTGTCCTTGGGGGCAAGTATGGTGTGTCCTCCTGCGTTCACTGGTCTGTGCCTTCTCCCCACAGCGGTAAAATTAGAAGAACTTTCTAGAACTCTGGACCGCATATTCCTGGTGCTGCCCAATCACTGTCTGGGGATGGCGGTCAGCAGCTTCTATGAGAACTATGAGACCAGGAGGTACTGTACCTCCTCGGAGATGGCCGCCCACTACTGCAGGAAATACAGTGAGTGTCAGGCTCCTACCAGCAGGCCCTTTACCCAGCTCTCTCCTCAAGACCAGCCAGGACATCCCCAGGAGCCTTGTTCCTGTGAAGGGGCTTCTCCGGGGAGGCTCAGGCCATGGTATGTCAGGGGAGGTTCCTGGTCCCAGGACTGAGACACCCCAGGTATAAGCATGAAAAGGGTCTTCAGAAGACATGCGCTCACCCCCACCCCTAGTGATGTGCGCTTCCTCCTTCCTGCCTGGCTGACCCCTAAATCTCTGTATGATCAGCTTAGGTGGGTCCTGCTCCTGGGGGGACTCTCCCAGCCCCACCATCACTGGGGGTGGGCACCCTTCATTGCTTCTGCAGCACTCAGACACACATGGCACTCCTCTGCTTCCTTGACCAGCTCCCACCTGATCCCACCCATTCCCACCACCCTTCCAGCTTTCACTAGCTCCTGGGCATTCCTTGGCTCATGGAGCAGTCACTCCACTCTCCATCTCTGTCTTTACATGGTCTTCTTGTGTCTTTGTATCTCAAACCTCCCTCTTCTTCATTTTGTAAAGACATTTGTTGTTGGATTTAGGGACCACCCTAAATCCAGGATCTTACCTTGAGACCCTTAACTAATTACACCTGTAAAAACCCTATTTCTAAGTAAGAATATTCACAGGTTAGGGGGATTAAGACGTGGATGTCTTTCTGGGGGCCATGATTCATCCCACCATGTACCCTTTCTGTGCCTGGAACAGTTTAGCAGGCAGCGTAGTTGTCACATTTGCAGAGCCCCGTGCATCCCCCTGGCAGGCTCATTTTCTGCTCTGTTCCTACCACTTTCTTACTTCACAGACCAACTTGGCGGAAGGGAGGCACATCTTACCTGTCCTTATGTCTCAGAGCAGTCCCCAGGCAAGGAAGTGAATGGATGTGTGAGTGAGTGAGGGCATGACTTGGCCACTTGTCATAAGTGCCCCTTGCAAGGTGAAACTGCCCAAAATGCAGGAAGTGTTGGGGGCTCTTGTGTGGCAGTGACAAACATGGTATGCACCCTCGGAAGATGAATGGACCATGTCCTTCACAGCCTCCATGTAGAAGGCTGGGGTGCACATGCCTGGTGGGCCTACAGAGAAGGACGCTGGCTGGCACTCCTGTGGAGAAGTGAGGGCAATAGGGGACGCGGGTGCAGCACCCTCTCCCTTGCCCACACAGACATCCAGTACCAGGAGAACTTCTATGCATGGAGTGCCCCGGGGGTCGGCAGGTTCGTGACCTCCATGGCTGCCTCAGGGTTTGCCTACCTCACCCTGCTCTTCCTCATTGAGACCGACCTGCTGTGGAGGCTGAAAACCTGCATCTGTGCCTTCCGGAGGAGGCGGGAGCTGGTGAGTGGCTCCTGCAGCTCTGCATCCAGCAGGTCTCCCACCGAGGCCAGGCTTCCTCTGGCCAGCACACAGGGAGGGCCTCAGCACCCAGCAAGGGCCAGGGTGTACGTGCACCACAGGGCTTGCAGCCTGGGAGAGGGGTCACAGTCCTCCTGGGGCCTTGGTGTTTCTTGGTCTCAGCAGAGGCAGTGCTGTCAGGCACCGTTATGTTTGTCACGTACCTCCATCCCATTAAGAAAATCTACTGAGACCACATTGGATGCACAGATTAACCCAGGGCAAATTGGCTTCTCTAAAATATTAGGACTTCTCTGAGAGGAGGAGTTTCGATCCACGTATTAAGGTCTCACACCGTTCAGTGGAGTTTCCTTCCTGGTACTCTCCGTGAGTCTTGCACTGTCCTTGTTCCTCAGGCAGTTTGTGTCTGCTCCGTGTTACTTTCCGCCCTTACGGCCCTCTCAGCTCTCCCTCTGAAAGGCCTGAGTCTGCACATGTGGGCTGGACTGGGTGAGCTGTCTCAGAGACCTCAGCCCTTCTATAGAAAAGGACGCCTCGGGATGGAGCTCACCCCTTGTGGTCTTTTTCCGGAACAATTAGATGGAAGTGTATACCCGGCCATCAGCACTTCCTGAGGACCAGGATGTGGCAGATGAGAGAAACCGAATCCTGGCCCCCAGCCTGGACTCCCCACTGGACACACCTCTGGTCATCAAGGAGCTCTGCAAGGTAAGCCGGCTACACCCCACAGGCCCCAGGTCTGTCCCCAATGCCTGGCTGCCCAGAAGCTGGCTTCCTGCCTCATTTTGATTTCTCCCCGGAACCTCACAGGTATATGAGCAGCGGACTCCCCTCTTTGCCGTGGACAAGATCTCCCTTGCCGTCCAGAAAGGGGAGTGCTTTGGGCTGCTGGGTTTCAACGGAGCTGGGAAAACCACCACTTTCAAAATGCTGACTGGGGAGGAGACCATCACTTCTGGGGACGCCTTTGTTGGGGGCTACAGCATCAGTTCAGACATCGGGAAGGTGGGTGCTGCGGGAAGAGGGGGCACCCTGGAGGCAGAGATGCAGCTCGTCTCTGGCTCAGGAAGTGGATAGCAGGATGAGGCAGTGACGGTGGGCAGAGCTAAGCCAGTGATGGGGTAGAGAAAAAGGACAGGAAGACAAGGGCCCCCTTGACTGGAAAAGCCCAGGCCTGGCTGGGGAGGTAAAGACTGGGCCCCTCCCAAAGAAGCCGTTTCTCTGGACCTGGTGTGGCATGTGCTTACGACATACTGCCCTGCTCAAAAAAACAGGCTCTCTTCAATCTGTGCACATAGATTTACAATAATGGTCCCTGGGCTGTTCAGACCAGCCATCCCACCAAGCACCAAAAGCCAGATAAAACATCAATGACAAACCATATTGATAAGAACATGGAAGAGCACATAGCATGGTGAGGAACTCAGACCAAAATCCAGGAGCCCTGAGAGGCACAGAGGGCCACTGTGTTCTAGGCAATGGGCGTGGGTTTAGGGGCCTTGCTGAGTGAAGAGGGCAGAAACAAAGGCCCAGGGCCTCCATGGTAGGGGTGTATTAGGAGACTTTCCCCATGTGGGGCTGAACCACAAAGGCTGCCCCTGAGGGTAAGGATGAACCAGGCCCACCTCCTGCTCCCCTGCCCCTGGGGATTGCCTAGAAGATTACCTGTGTGCTGAGTAGAGCAAGAAAAGGAATGAAGAGCCTGTGTCCGGGAGTGACCTGATCACCTGAACTTGCAGCAGGGGCCAGACCGCAATATACACCTTCTCTGGAGGAAGGCCTTTGTCTTAGGCAATGAAGAACACTCCAAGTAGTATTTCAAGGCCTATGAGCAGTGCACAACTAAACGGCCAAAGAAGACAGTCCCTGTTACTGAAACCTGCAGATACCAGGGTCCTCCAGGAGAAACCCACCATTTTAGATTTGCAATCGCCAGACCCAGATTATAAAACAGCTGTGTTTACTGTGTTTAAAGAAATAAACGAGACTGAAAATATAGGAAAGAGAAAACTATAGATGTTTTCTAGGAAGTGGAGGAAAGGGTAAGAAGTCCTAAATACATTTAATCTGAGTTGCAGCAGGAAAGAAGAAAGTAAGGGAAAGATAATCACTGACAAGGAATTAGCTAAGAATTTTCCCAGACCAATTAAACACAAATGCTGGAAGCATAGGAACCCCAGGGAGTGTAAAGAAAAGAAACCCCAGCTTTGGAATCCACAGACTTCAGGCTCACCTGTCCCCAGCCAGCTGCTGAAGGTAGGGGGAGATGGCAGCAGCTGTGGGGTACCTTGGCTCTGATGAAGGTGGCCGTCTGACCAGGGGATGCCCCACCCCAAAGGTGTTGCCACCAAACCTCTCTTTCATTAGAAGAAGAAAGAAAAGTCCTAGCACACATTAGATATTTGTTAAACATCTGATGAAGGAATGAGCAGATGATACACCAGCAGATATTTGCATGTGATCACTTTGTATAATCAATATTCTTGTACCAACCAGCCCCCACACTACCTACTTGTTAGCCCCCTCTGACTACTTGTTATGGGGCAGTGTGGCTGCTCATGGCCTCCTTGAGCCGGCCAAGCCCCTCCCATGTCCCCACTAAAGTGCTGCTTGGCAAACTTTGGCTGTGGCCAAGGCCAGGGTCTGTGCACTGGCTGATGGACCACTCTGGACAGATTGGCTGAGAGAAACCTGGAGGAGACTCCCTCTGACCTGTTACCTCCCCGGCTGTGTTCCAACCCAAGGTGCGACAGCGGATTGGCTACTGCCCCCAGTTTGATGCCCTGCTGGACCACATGACAGGTCGGGAGACGCTGGTCATGTACGCCCGGCTTCGGGGCATCCCCGAGCGTCACATCAGTGCCTGTGTGGAGAACACACTTCGGGGCCTGCTCCTGGAACCGCATGCCAACAAGCTGGTCAGGACTTACAGGTGCACCTGTGCCTCAACCCCTCCCCCGCCCCATGACTCCATGACCCATGGGTCTTCCCAGGATGGAGTTAGGGTCTCCCTTAACATAGACAGCCACGCAGGTCAGGAGCTGGACTTCCCAAGTGAGAGGGGCTGCCCTATTGGTTCCCATCTCCTAGAGGTAAAGCCAATCTCAGGTGAGGTCAGGACCCCCCTTAGGTGCAGATAGATGGTGTACTGCTCCATGTAGGGGTGGGGGCTGATCCCCTGGGCACAGCTTTCTCTGGGGCCTCTAGCACCCTTAGGTAGAAGCTTTCCAGGCACACTCCCTCATTCCTCTTCACCTGGGGCACTTTGCGGTCATTGGGCCCTGTCATCTGTTGGGACCTGGGGATGCTATGCTAATAATCAGCCTTGCCCCCTTGTGCATCCCCTCTGCCCCCAGCGGTGGCAACAAGCGGAAACTGAGCACTGGCATTGCCCTCCTTGGAGAGCCTGTGGTCATCTTCCTGGATGAACCATCCACTGGCATGGACCCCGTGGCCCGGCGCCTGCTCTGGGACACTGTGGCGAGAGCACGTGAATCTGGCAAGGCCATTGTCATCACCTCCCATAGGTAGAGCCAGGGTCTCTGTGGGCCAATGGATCAGCTGTGATGGGGGTTGTGGGAGGGAGGGGCTGGGTGGAGAGAGACCTGACATCTGTTGGTAAAGAATCTGTGAGATTCCCCAGGCTCTAGCATGTGGGCCACACTCTGAGCATGGGAATCAGGAAGAGCCTGATCTGGGTGTTGACACCTTCCCATCTGCACATCGAGGGTGGGTGTCAGCATACCCCAGCCCTGTGTCAGGCCTCCATCCCCTCTCTCTAGCATGGAGGAATGTGAGGCCTTGTGCACCCGGCTGGCCATCATGGTGCAGGGTCAGTTTAAGTGCCTGGGCAGCCCACAGCACCTCAAGAGCAAGTTTGGCAGCGGCTACTCCCTGCGGGCCAAGGTCAGGAGCGACGGGCAGCAGGAGGCGCTGCAGGAGTTCAAGGCATTTGTGGACCTTCCCTTCCCAGGTGTGTGAGCTTCACAGAGGGCATCTGAGCCTTGCCCCTACCAAGTTCCACATCCCTGACCCCTGGGATGAGACCTAAGAATCTGTGGGCCCAGGCCACCTTCCCCTGACCCTCCAGCCCAGCCGTCATGGGGACACAGTCTCTCCTTTGTGCAGGCAGTGTCCTGGAAGATGAGCACCAAGGGATGGTCCATTACCACCTGCCTGGCAATGACCTCAGTTGGGCAAAGGTGAGCATGGGCCCCACAGGGCCTCATCTGGGGCTGGGGAAGTTCCCTCCAGCAGTCACCCCTTCTGTGGTGATTCCAGGCTCTTCCTAAGGAGGAATCACTTGTAGTTTCTTTTCTAACACTCATCCTAATATCTACTAGGTTTGGGGGTTTATGCCTGAAATATTTGAGTTGGAAAAGAAATTGGTTCAAAAAAGGAAACTGGCTCAGAGAGGGAACAAAGCTTGCCTACCCTTGCCCGACTCTGAGCTAAGAGTCAGGAGGAAACCTGGTCCCCAGGCCTGCTCACTGAGCACAACCCATGTCTTCCCTCTGGGATCTCAGCTCACCCTGTAAGGCCAACTCCTTATGGGTGCTCTAGGGACTGGACTGGGCAGGTGTAGGATCTTCTGGGCCATACCACCCTTACGGCCAAGGACTCCCAGACCAGACAAAAAGCCAGGCCCTGGGCTTGTTAACAGCAGCTTCTGCTTCCCAAAGGTCTTTGGTATCCTGGAGAAGGCCAAGGAGAAGTATGGAGTGGACGACTACTCTGTGAGCCAGATCTCACTGGAGCAAGTCTTCCTGAGCTTTGCCCACCTGCAGCCACCCGCCGACGATGAGGGGCCATGAGGAGCCTGGTAGAGGTGGGATGAGGGGGAGCACAGGTGGACATCCTCTCCCTCCGAGTTCATCTTATCCTGCACCTTTATTTCTAATCACTGTTTTCTATGATGGACATGAAAATCAAGGCACAATATGGACTGGGTGTATCGGTGCCTTCACGCCAGGAATCAGCATGCGAACATCCGCATCTAAGGTGGTTGCCGAACCCCACTCCCAGAAGTCAAGATCCCAGCCAAGAGCGGGTCCAGCAGTTTGTGTAGGCAAGCTGCAGGGCCTTTGGAGAGAGCTTGTCAGGAAGGGGCCACAGCTGACCCTGGGGGTGAATTTCCCTATGAGCTCAGGAGAGCACTCAGTGACATCTCCATGTTCACACATGGCACAGAGCTTCTCTGGGTGTGAAATGGGAAACCGGCTGGACAGTTGGCAGCAGGGCTCGCCAGGCTGCCCAGAATGGACAGAAAGGTCGNTGGCACAGAGCTTCTCTGGGTGTGAAATGGGAAACCGACTGGACAGTTGGCAGCAGGGCTCGCCAGGCTGCCCAGAATGGACAGAAAGGTCGTCTGTCACTATCCATGAGGGAGATGCCAGCTGTGATTAGGCACTGAGATCTTGGCATCCAGTATAGCCAGGGGCATCTTGAGAGTCCATGTTCCTGAGAGTGTCGATACTACGCTGGGCAGAGCTGACCCTTTGGCACCATCCCACCAGCATCTTCCAGAGTCAGCCAATGCAGGGAGGGAAGGCAATCCTCCATTCCAGACCCTGGCCTTCTGAGAAGACACCAGCCAGGAGACCAGCCAGGGACTGAGCAGCCATCTATGGAGGGTGCACCGAACACATGGTGACTCAGTGTCCAGAAAATAAAGGCTGGAAGGGAACATGACCATAGTCTGTGAGCCACACACAAGATGGGGGTCGCGGGCCCAGTAACTCACCTCTAGTCCTAAAACAAGCCTTCTGTGTCAACTTCAGACAAACAAAAGCAAGAGCTCATTTTTCCCCAGTATGTAGTAACCTTACAGAACTCAGTCATGAGGTGAAGGCATTAAGCCAACACAAGTGCAAAAGCAGGTTATCTAAACAGCCAGCTGACGGATATTTGTCTATAGTGAGGAAAGACAGGTATAGGGTTGATGTAGGAGGGTGCAGACCTGGGTGGACAGGAGGCCTCTAGCTCCAGGGCCACTCATGGGCTTTTAGCTGTCTTCCAGAAGGTTCTTCTTCAGCATTAGCTCCCTTTTTATTTATGTACTATTTATGTCTTAGGTTTCTAAATTTCCATGATTTGAATCTCTGTGCCTTTTTGCATTTCCTTAGTAGTTTTAGAAAAGGCTTGTTTCCATCACTGGTTCATTTGGATCAGTTTCAAATTTGCATTTTTATCAGTCTCTCAAAGTTTGGAAACACTACAAACAGTTTCCAGTAGCTCTTTTATTCCCTTTAAAATTCTTCAAATTATCATCATTTAGTTCCATGTTATAAAAAATAAACTTAGGGGTGGCTGTGGTCCTAAACATTGCCCAACAGAAAACATCTGAGAGATGGGCCTCAGATTTGTTGGCAAAAGCTGTGGTTGCTGCACCCATGTTGGGTTTGCTGGGTCATGGGAGGAGGGCAGAAGCCAGCACAGCTTGGCCACATGTCCATACTTGACAAACCTACTGCAGGGCTTCCTGGGCTGTCTGTCTGTCTGTCTGTGTGTGTGTGTGTGTGTGTGTGTGTGTGTGTGTGATGTTTTTATTGACTTTTAGAAAGGGAGAGGGGGAGAAACATTGATGAGAAAGAGAAACATCTATTGGCTGCCTCCTGCATGCCCCTACTGGGGATTGAGCCCCCAACCCGAGCATGTGCCCTGACCAGGAATCAAACCAGTGACCTCTTGGTGCACAGATGATGCTCAACCAACTGAGCCACACCGTCTAGGGCTCCTGGGCTGTTTTTCAGCCCACCTGTTAGAAATTTGCCATTTATCTCCTTTGATGCCACAAGAAAGGGTATGAGGAAAGGTATTTAGGACTGAAGGAACAATTCATACGTATGTGAGGCACACATGTGAAATCAAGACTGCATCAGTTCAAGAAGTGGATTCACTGATAGATGAGGTGGAGAGACCAGTGCAAAGGAGACTGGCAGGATGAAAATGGGGACAGTCATGATCAGAGGAGATCCTCCTTAGGAAGATGACCTGGCAGCTGTGGAAAGGTTGATGCTGGCACAGCCGAAGCTGCAGCAGTGGGGACCAGAGGGGCAGGCGCACAGCACAGTTAGGGAGAGCCCAGAAGACTATGTCTGTGAAAGGAGCCCATGGTTGCACCCAAGCATGGAGCTTGGGCAACTGCAGGAGGGACAGCTGAAGAGACCCCAGGAGCAGCAGGAAGAGACACCACTGTTAGGGTCCAGTGTGTCCCCGAGTTATCTACAAAGCTGCTGGAAATCTGGTGTGAAGCTGAGTGTCCTCAAGGAGCAGGAGTGGAGTAGGGCCTAAGAAACTAAACACACACCCTGCCCTGGTTGATTTGAGTTGTGGCAGCTCTAAGCCCAGGGGATGGGTGTGGAAAGGAGCCAGAGACCAGGCCCCTGCCCCCAGCAGAAGAGCTGGCCTGTGTCATCCATCCTACCATTCCTATCTCACTCTCCTCTAGACCTTCAGGCCCAGACAGTCCCTAGAGATCCTGGCCCCAAACAGCTGTCACATCTGGCAGGCATAGCCCTCCAGTGGGGGGACTCTACCCCTGCCCTGCCCCCAGCAGTAGAGAGACCCAGGAGACAAGGTCATGCCGTCCCATGGCTCCTGAGGGACAGGCACCCATGTCAGGGCTGAGAGCAAGGCCCAGAAAAGTCCTACCTAGTCCAATGATGTGCTCAACTGACACAGTGGACCTAGGGACTGACCTTCAGCCTGACAGCTGCACCCAGAGAGGGCTCCGACAAGGAAGGAGGGCAGCCGTGTGGGGAAGGTGAGGAGACCCTACTGAGGGGCAGGGCTGAGGCCAAGCCTCTCCACTGCCTTCACTGTGGGGAAGAGCTGCCAGGCAGTAGGTCACAAGTCAAGGGGACACCACCCCCCAGACCACAAGAACAGCTCCTGCAGGCTTGCTGAGCACATCAGAAAACCCAAGACTACAGTGGTTTAAAAAAGACAGGAGTTTATTTCTCTGCCAACAAAGTCCAGAGATGGCAGTCTAGGCATTCTGTCACCATCAAGGTCATAGGGAGTCAGATTCTATCTGCCTGCTCCATCCAGGTGTAGGCCTCCCTCCTCAAGGTTACCTCTCAGGGTTCAAGGGCTGCTGAGGCTTCCAGATGGCATTATCAGAAAACGGAACAAGAGAGCAGAGCTCCTGGGGGCTGTCAGACACTTGGGCCACGTCACTGCCCAGAATGTAGGCACACGGCTACACCAGGTACAAGGAGCTGGGATATGCAGATAAAACCCAGACAACTGCAGTTTTTGCCACAATTGTAGCAGGCAAGCTGGTGTCCTCAAGGTGATCCCCTTGTTGTCCAAGCTGGTGAGACCTCACCTCATTCAGGAAGCCCCAGAGACCTCCTACAGACCAGCAGAAGTGACCATACCCTAAGGCCTGACCTCCATTCTCATCCCCCACCAAGCGCCCTGGCCCTTTGGTTGCAGGTACTCAGAAAAGCAAACAAACTGGACAAGTTTCTTGCTAACCAAATTCCAATCCCAGATCTCTAGTCCAGGAAGCCAAGGTCACCCAAGTCCCAGGGACCCCTGGCCTGGTCTCTCAAAGCAGCAGACAAGACCAAGGAGCCAAGACCAGCACCTGGAGGCGGGGGGGAGGCTGGAAGGCAGGTCCAAGGGTGGGCACAAGTTGTCTTGGGAGGAGTGGAAGAAGGTTCCAAAAGGCTAGACCGCCAACCAGGGCAGCTGATTCCTGCTACTCCATCCGCATGACACCCCGTGCCAGCTACTCCCCAGCTCACCTCTGGCATAAGCTGGCCAGGCCCTCTGGGACCCCCACTCCCACACAGATGGGTCAGTGTGAAGGTGAGTGCAGCCTACATTCATCCAGAGCCTGCCCGCTGCGCTGAGGGACAAAGCTTCACCTGCAGAGGGACTGAGGTGCCTGGGTAGATCACCTGGGCCCCATGTGGACCCAGAGGGGCTAAGCTCCATCCACTCCTGCATTACAGAGATGATCCAAAGATTCTGAGAGGTACCCCCAACACCAAAGTTAGGGTTAGGCTGCTTACCCCACCCTACAGCTGAGGCCAGCAGGCCAAGTGTACAATATCCCACCCTCCAGACACAAGGCTCCTTTCCTTGACAGAGGGCACTCTGGGGACCCTGTATGAGGGGAGGCTCAGGGCAGGTAGACCTGGAGGCTGACAGAGAAGGGGAAACAAGGTGGAGACCCAGGCCCCCCAGGAGAGACAGCCAGGAGGCAGGACAGTGGTAGGCCCTAGAGTCCCATCCCCACCTGATGGGCTCATGTGATCTGGGCTTCAAGCAGGCAGAGGGAGGGGCTGAAGCTGTGGGGTCAGGCCTGGCCCACACCCCACAGGTGCTGGCTTCATATGCCTCCGAGGTCAGAGAAGCTCCAAGTTGACTACCTGTATAAGGCACAAGGGAAAGGGAGAGGGCTGGGAGCCAGGCAACAACAGTCACCACTGTGTGACCTGAGGCTTACCCAGTGCTGCAGCACACTATCACCTGCTCTGCATCCAGCTCTGGCCAGGCCCCATTCTGTTCCCTGTGACCTCCCCAGGGTGTGCAGCTCAGGTGTTACTACCTTTGACTTCCTTGGGGCAGAAACAAACATGGGGCTTTGGGCATTAAAACCAGCACAGGTTCCCTGCAGCACAGGGGCCTGCAGTCCCTCCAGAGGGCAGCCTGCAGCACCGCCTGGGAGAGTGCCTGCGGGTGGGGGGGGGGCAGGTTTGGGGGGTGCTCAGGACCTGATGCCCCACACCTTGGAGACACTAACTGGAATGGCCTCACCACAACTCCAGACCCTCATTCGCTGGATGGCCCTTTCAGACCCAGCCTGGCCACCCAAAAGGACCAGCCAGCACCAACTGGGCTCCTTCATGGGCTGCAGGTACCCATCCCCACAGAGGAGCCAGGCCTCCCCAAAGGTCACTGAGCCATCACAACCTCCCTGACCCCACCCAAACCCCTCTTCCACCTGGCTGGGCAACATCTGCCCTTGGCAACATCTGCTAGCAATGGGTAGAAGTGCTTTCTGACATGGCTTACAAGGGGTCACAATGCCTGCTCGAAGCTCCTGGGTGGCCCACCATGACCTCCAGCACAACCCTAGCTATCCCTGACCTTCTCATTATCCAGGATCATCAGCCTCCAATGACAGGCACTGCAGAGGTTATCAGGCCCACAGAGGATGAAGGCAGAGGGAACATTCTACTTTGATGTGAGTACGCTCTCAAAGTTGAGAGCATCCCCACATCACCAACAGGTGGCCCTCAGCACTGGGAGGAAAGGGAGGGGGACTCAGGACCCTGGCCAGAGCCTGCAGGATACCTGTGGCTTGCTGCCAAATGCCCTATCCACAGGAGCCCTGACCCACCCTCTCTATCAAATCTGGACCAAAGACCTCCTAAAGCCTCCAAAGGCCCCTGCTCCCAGCCCTCAGCCACCTCAGCCAACCTCAATAGGTTGGCACTGGGGACTGGGAGGGGCGAAGGCCAGGAGCCTCCAGAGTTTTATTTTCTCATGTTTTTCCAAACACATTCTGCTGACCCCCAAAACTGCAAAAGCCAAGTTGCTTAAATATTAAAAGTTCACCAGATGAAACAAAAATCAGTAATATTTAGAAACAAATTTAATTAAATTCATGTTAATAAATCATGCTTTTAGATTTTATATAAAATGTATTACATGATATACAGATTATAGGATTATACACCTGAAGCCTCTAATTTTATTAACCAATGTGACCCCAATAAATTCAATAAAAGGTGCTAACTTTAAAAAGATAAAATGTGTTAAAATGTACAATAGTACCTCGGTTTTCTAAAGTCTCCGTTGACGAATATTTAGGTTTATGAACACCATAAACCCAGAAGTAAATGCTTTGGTTTTCGAACACGCCTCGGAAGTCGAACATGCCACACGGCTTCACTGAGGGCAAAATCCTGAGGCCCAGCTGTCGGCTATTGATCCCTCAATTTTCGAACGTTTGAGAACTCAATCTTCCAGAACGGATTACATTTGAAAACCAAGGTATCACTGTATATGCATGCCAAATTATATTACTTTAGACTCTAAAAGTTTAGAGCATTAAAAAAAAAAGCAGAGGGGGCTGTCAGGCCAGCTGGTTATTTCCCCCCCCTCCTCTTGTTATGGTGGGGACACCAGCATGCCCCCTCCCAGCCAGGGTATCAGTGCTGCCCTGGGTAAAGGCTCTGGGTTCAGGGCCCTTCAGGTACCCACTAATGGTTGGCCCAGGATGTGTGGGGCTCCAACATGCTGCCACAGCCTCCATGTGCTATGGGCCTCGACCACCAAGGTCACCCCATCCCCAGTGCCAACCACCTAGGCCTCTTCACTGCTACAGGACCAAGGCTGCCCTTCTGATGTGGAGAATTTAACTTATTTTAAATGTCCCCCCATTCCTGCCATCAAACGGAAGACCCCCACCCTCAGGAACATGTTGGTGCCTCAGTGGAGGGGGCTCAGTGGGCAGGTTATTTCCCCACCCTCCTCTTGCTCCTCCCAGGCTTCATTTGTCCTGGACTACTCAAGACACCCCTCAGCACAGGGTAAGGTGTTAGGGGCACACTTGACATCCCTGTACAGGAGACAAGGCTGGAGGAGGGAAAGGAGTCATCATCATTGGCTGGGAGCACCAAGTGGAACAGAGAGCAGTGACAAGCAGAGGGCATCCAGAGCACCATCTATCCACCCCAAGTCACCAAGCTGGCTCTTCCCGCTGACATCTAATTGGTCTCCAAGTAGCATTGGTTCCTTCCTCCAAAAAAATCACTTTGGATCTATTCCCTTCTCTTCCTTGCTTCACCTACCTGTACAGACAACGTCTGGGTTTGGGCGCACATTCCTTCCTCCCACTAATAGTCAAGGAGGAAAGACTGCTTGCCAGACACGGAGGCGGGGGACTGGAGGAGAGGGATGGGAAGGGGGGGAATGCGGCTGACATAGAAGTGAACAAAACCCAAAAGCCTGGCCCTCTCAGCGCCAAGTTTTACTCCAACAGCCTGCTGGAGTAAAACCCAAACCTCTCCTTCTGCCTTTTCCATTAGGTTCTGACAGTGCTTCCCAGCCTACACCGTCCAGAGAAAGAATGCTGCCTCGGCCGGTATCTCGCACATCCTTCATGTCCCCCGCACCGCGGAACTCCACCTTCCCAGCCCCGGCCTGCGAGCTGCCCCACGGGCCTCCTTTCGCTTCTTCCAACGAGCCTCCGCGCCTTTGCATCTGCTGTTCCTCTGCCGGCGCGCCCCTCCACTCAGCTGCAGTGTCACCTCCTCAGAGACGCCTTCCCTTCTACACCTTGTCTTCTACCTTGCCTCCTGCATCCCAGTTCGTTCTGGCCGCACAGCCGGGTCCTGTCCATACCTCCCTCCCCCCTCGAGTTCCGCCGGTGCAGAAGCCTCGCCTACACGGTCAGCCCGCACACCACGCGTGATTTCTAACCGCACGAACCCATCTAGCGACGGCTTGGCTAGCTGAGCCGCCTACGCCCTGCAGGCTTCCAGGGCCGACTGCCCGAGGCCGCAGAGCGGCACGGCCCTGCTCTGCCACCGCCAGGTCCCACAAGGCGCGAAACCACCCCGTAGGGAGTTTAGCGCCCGGGCAACCGCCGAATCCGCTGCGAGCCCCTTACGCACGCGCACGGAGAGAGGCGGGGCCGCGTTAACCCCCTCCGTGCCGCCCCTTCAGCTGCTGGTGCGGCGCGGTCCTCCCAGCCCCAGCAAGCAGCCAATTTGTCGGCCCCACGAGGCACACAGCTAGCCCTGGGTAGCCCAATACAACTCCTCCATAGGGAACTACAGAGTGAAAATTCCCGAGACTCTCCACAAACGCTCTCGGCCCTTTAACACTCCGAGCGCTCGCGCCCATTGGCTGGGGCGATTACGTCATCGCTGAGCGCCGAACAGCGGCGTCTTCCCGCTCCCTCTCCTGACGACTGAGCGGCGCCGACCTCAGCGGCTGAGGAGAGCGGGAGGAGGTCGCTGCGGCGGGAAGATGTAAGTGGGGGAATCCGACCCCATCCGAGCTTCTTAGGGGGCGCACCCCGGTATCGGCGGGGCGCATCGTGGAGCCGGCGTGCTCCTCCGTCCCCGCAGTGAGGACGGCGACCTGGCCGTACAGCGCGGGGACTAAGAAGAAAAAGTGTGGCTCGGGGTGGACAGAGTGGGAGGGTCCGAGGCCGCGGCCCGGAAGTAGTCGGGGCCGCGGCGGGCGGAAGGGCGGCCTCGCACAGTCAGCTCCACGGCTGGCCCAGCTAGGCCCCCGGGACTCGGAGAAGCCGCGAGCGCGGTCTCTGCCCTCAGGAACCTCTCGCCGGGCTGGAGACCCAGGCCTGCAACTCTGGGCCCTACCCTGGAAGCGGTCGCGGCCCGGCATCTGGACTGGGGAGTTGTGAGTGGACGTGTGCGGCGAGGTCGCGTGCGGGGCCCGTGCCCCGGTGGGTGCAGAGTTGCTTTGTGGGATACCCTGGAAGACCGACTAATCCTCCCTTCGGGGCCATTAATTCAAACATTTACAACACGAATGTTTACCGGGCTCCTGTGTGCCATTCTCGGTTCTAGCCCTTGGAGATACGGCCCCTGAATTCATGGAGCTCACATTGATGGGTTACCCCAGAAGGGAAGGTTAAGATCAATGGAGGAAAGACGTGACTTTTCTCTTTTTGTTATTTTGCATGAATTGTGCCTAGAATGTACTTTTAAATGGGGAAGGTGCTCTGAAGATTTGAGCTGAACGCCATCTACTCGAGATTTAACTAATTGTTCTCTCCTCTCTTTGACTGTTGGACGCGCACCTTTTCCGGATGATGGGGGAGGTAACCAAGGTCCTGTGCTGTTACCTGAACTTGTGTGAGCAGAGAACCTCAACCTTTGCTTTTTAGCATTCGGCCACACCCAACAAAGCGTTCGTTTACTCTGTGGTTGTTAATATTTAGTGTTTAAGAATAATTGGTGGTGCTTGTTTTCACAAAGTACTTTCAGGTAGATCGTTAGAACTGGGGTGGGGTCCAGGAATCTGCACTCTAGGACAATCCTGTTCAGTTTAAGTAGCCATTGGCCACATAGGGCTGTTGAGCACTTGAAATATACACCTATCCCAAATTGATGTGTTTTTAAGACTTAATGGGGGGGCGTAAAAATTTTACTGATGCGTTTTTACACTGATTGTTGAAAAGGTAATACTTGGGATGTAGTGTGTTAAATACATCACTAAAAGTTAATTTCATTGTTAACATTCTTTTTGTAACCTGGCTACTAGAAAATTTTAGGGTATGTTTGGAACTCCATCCCTATTGGACAGTGCTGCTCCTAGTGAGATAATGGGGGCTGTCCAAGGAACACATGTTGAGCACTCAGAGATATATGACTTTGGGGACAAGGGTTTATATGGGGAAAGAGCCTCATACATGGAGAAACAGCCTTTTCTTTGAACATTAGCCAACATTTACTGAGCCTTAACTAGATGCCAAGTCTCTTTTATGGGTTAATTTGATTGGTGTCCTTGATAACTATGAGGTGTAGGAACTAATTGCCACCATAATACTGGTGAGAAATTGAGGCTCAGAAAGGTTAAGTGACTTATCCAAGGTTACACAGCAAAGCTAACTCAAGCAAACTGATGCCAGAGTCTTAACCATAATCACTGATTATCCAAGGATGCTAACCATATCCAGTATTACCAGCTCCGTGTCTGTATTACCTTATTGTTTTAAGGCAAAACATTAAAGATTTTACAGCCTGGGAAAAGGAGAAAAGGATATTCTGTTCTTCCCTCATTTGATTGTCCAAGGTTGTCCAAGACCAGGCACTCTTTCTTGAATCAGAACATTATTGGAATTTTAGACTCCCCTATACACACGGAAACAGATCCCAAATGGTGTGCTGTGTCCAGGTTAAAGGCTATCGAAAAAGGTGGGACAGAAGTAGTTAAGACCGATATCCTCAGATCTTTGCTTACAACTCCAGCAAATTGTACAGAACTTCACTGGAATTGCTGAGGCAGCAGTTCCCAGGAAATAGGGGGCACATAATGAATTAGTAATTCATTCTTGAGTAAAATTTATTAATGACCATTTATTGAGCACATGCTTCAGTTCAGGCACTTGTACATGCCCTTTACCTGGGACCCTTCAGTCCACGGGCTAACGTTCTAACCATTGAGCCAAACCCACTTGGGCCACAATGGATATTTTTTAACATTGTTTTGTTGCTTTTTAAATGTTCATTTAGGATGTTTTTTCTTTTGGGGTAGTAAACTTTTTTTTTTCCAATCCTCTCCAGAGGGCATACTTAGAGGAAGGGACACAGTAGAGAGAAAGAGAAACATCAATGTGAGAGAGAAACATTGATCAGTTGCCTTCTCTATGTGCCCCTACTGGGATCTAACCTATAACCCAGGTATGTTCCCTGACCGGGAATTGAACCAGCAACCTTTTGGTGCACAGGATGATGCTCAGCCAACTGAGCCACTCCAGCCGGGCAGGGTAGTAAACATTTTGATACCAGTACCAGTCACTTTTGAAGTAGTTTTCGCTTCCAGTAATATATATCCAAAGTATCCTATAACGGAAATTAGAGCAATAAAACAAATTCTAAACCTATCAGGAGGGCCACACTCATTTAGGTTTTTTCCTATTCTGCATGCAAATGTGCTGTAGTACTTCTATGGGACTGTAGAGGGCTTATCATCAAACTTATAAGTGAAAAACAGGTATTGTACCACCTGCAAAATAACAATACAGTGACCAGCATCACCATCATTTTCTTAAGAAAAAGACAACCTGAGGTGACGATTCTACTTTGTGTCCTGTGGAGATGGGATCCTCCCTGAGGACATGGTGAAGGTCCCCGCGTGTTCCTGGATTTGTGGACTCTCGCTGCTGTGTTCCTTGCCTCCATTCGTGTGCTCAGCTTTTGGCTGCAAAGTAGATTTTTTGCCTTGCCAATTTGTTCACTCTGTAAATCCTTTTATCTTATTAGGCTGCACTTTGGCGTAAATTGCAATCGATTAGGGATCGTTTCTCAGACTCAAGTTAGAAGTGAGAGTTCAGATAAGTGAGGCCGCCATTCTGCTTTGAACACCTCAGAAGGGGAGAATGGATTTATCAGGAGTGAAAAAGAAGAGCTTGCTAGGAGTCAAAGAAAATAATAAAAAGTCCAGCACTAGGTAATCCTTCTGTCAGATTTTTCTAGTGCTACTTTGGGGGTGCTTGTTGCTAGGGACCCTTAGAAAGGGGAAGATTGGAAATGTCTTGCATTCTATAGTGAAAGTGTCCTAAGCCACAGATCATTTTGCTCTGTGATGGCCTGGGATCTCTGTAGCCGCATGGACCCCCTCTTTTGGGTTGTGCTATTGTTTTAGGGTTCAATCAAAAGGGCATGCATTCTCACATTCTTCCTTACCATCCAGGGCTCCTTCTCCTACCAAACGCAAAGACCGCTCTGATGAGAAGTCCAAGGATCGCTCTAAAGATAAAGGGACCACCAAGGAGTCAAGCGAGAAGGATCGGGGCAGGGATAAAACTCGAAAGAGGCGCAGCGCTTCCAGTGGTAGCAGCAGCACCAGGTGGGGCTGACCGCGTAGTGTTGAGAGGCCTCACATCCCTCCTGAAGGGCACGGAAAGTGCTCTGTCTTTTTAATTAATTATAAACAACACACTCAGATTGTTAATCGGAATTCTAATTGTGGCTGACTGGTTTGGGGTTTGCTCTGGTTATATATAGAAGTTGGTGTTTGTGTGTTTTCTTTCCTTGAAATATTGAAGAATGAGACATCTTAGGGTATATTTTTCTCTGAAGTGCTTCCTTTATTTTTTTACTATGTTTTTATTTTTTTAGAGAGAGAGGAAAGGAGGAGGGGTGTAGAGAGATAGAAACATCGATCAGCTTCCTCCTGCATGCCCCCCTACCAGGGATCAGGCCCACAACCCAGGCATGTGCCCTGACTAGAAATTGAATGGTAACCTCATGGTTCCTGGGTCAACGCTCAACCACTGAGCCACAGTGGCTAGACTCTAAAAGTGCTTTTTATTCAGGGTTGTAATCGGATTGCCCTAGCCCAGAAATTGTTTTTTTTTCCATTGAAAACCAGCCTTGGTCAGTCAGTAGTCACCTTTCAAGCTGAATTGGTGGCTCTGACTTGCCAGGCTCCTTTACCTTTTAGTAGACAACGCTTCTGTATCAGTAGGAAGCAGCTCATTCTTCCTTTCTTGTCACTGCACAATGTAAATGCTGTTTTTTCTTCCCAACAAGGTCTTTGGCTTGAGGGCGAGGTGGTAAATGTTTTCCCTGCTGGGGAAAGTAGGGCCGCTTGGAAATATAAGGACAGCTGTTTACTCTTGCGAGTGTGCGTAGGCTTGCCTGTGCTGGGAAGAAATGTTGTTCCCACCTGTTGTCTGTGACCCCCCCCATTTCACCCCTCAGGTCTCGGTCCAGCTCTACCTCCAGCTCGGGCTCCAGCACTAGCACCGGCTCAAGCAGCGGCTCGAGCTCTTCGTCAGCATCAAGCCGCTCGGGAAGTTCCAGTACATCCCGCAGCTCCAGCTCCAGCAGCTCTTCCGGATCTCCAAGTCCTTCTCGGCGCAGACATGACAACAGGCGGCGTTCCCGCTCCAAGTGAGCTCCCCTCCAACACTGTTTCTCACCAAACCTGTGAATTATCTGTGAACTTAAGTTTACAGGCTGGAGGCTATCGAGTTACTGTAGTTATTCTAAAAGACCAAAAAGGAGTCTTTCTGTCCTTGTAGGACTTCTAAGACAGGAATGATGTGCATGAACTAGTAGGAAAGACTTCCTTATTTAAAAACAGTTAACATCCCCACTAAAAAAACCTTTGACTTAACAGAAATTGATTGCTTTTTGTTTTCTTTTCTCAATCAGATCCAAACCACCCAAAAGAGATGAAAAGGAAAGGAAAAGGCGGAGCCCTTCCCCTAAACCCACCAAAGTGCACATTGGGAGACTCACCAGGAATGTGACCAAGGTGAGGACTGCCAAGTCTATCCAGTGGACCAGGGGATGGTGCCTTTGGATGTAGCCTTTCGAGGACTTGTGTGATGGCACATGACTCAAATAGCGCACTAATTCCTTTTAATGGGATATATATGTGTGTCTAGGAGATTACCACCAAATGCCAAGGTTGTAGTTATGTGGTGAATTCTCTTTGACTCTTACACAAGTGACTGGTGCTTAAGCATTGGTGACACTTCTTTCCCTTTAGGATCACATCATGGAGATATTTTCCACCTATGGGAAAATTAAAATGATTGACATGCCTGTAGAAAGGATGCACCCCCATCTATCTAAAGGCTATGCATATGTGGAGTTTGAGAATCCAGATGAAGCTGAAAAGGCGCTGAAGCACATGGATGGAGGTGGGTGTGGGTGGCTCTGCCACCGCTCCTGAACCTCCTCTGTCCCCGATCCAAGACCAGCTACCCACCACATATAGGGACCTTTAGAACTGATTTCCAGTCTGGCTGGCTACACATCAGAATCTCCCTGGAGCTCTTTCAGGATTTTAATTTTCAATTCTTATTCAGTGGGTGTGTGTTTACCAAAAACACGTTTAATGGATCATTATTGAAAAAAATTGGCAAATATGAATATATTAGCATTTTAAGAGTTTTTCAGTCTGTTAAAAGCCTAAGGATTGAATGGTTTTTGTTTTTTTACAAAGAATATATCATGAATATTATGGAGCTATTTGACTTTTATATGAGAATGCTTCCTTTAATCCTCAGAGTCTTTTTTTCTGTTTTGCTAACATTTCAGCATTAAGATTTTTTAAATTTCCTGAATTCGCAAATTTTTCCCATTTCCTAAAAGCTTGTGTCTTAGCTATTATCACATTTGCAGTCGTTTGGTATTAGGCAGAATAGTTGTAACATTTCAACATTAGTGAATAATTTCAGATGGCCAGTTTTCATTTTGTTTTTTGGGGAATGTGTAATTTGTCTCTGCCCCAGCTTGCTGCTGTTGTATGTAATCCAGGCAGCTGGGGCCAAGAGCCAGGACTGCCCATAGCACTGTATGGCTGCCTGGCTGAGTGGAGAGGAGAATCTGAGCACCCCAGAAACTTGGTGTCCTCAGAGGCCCCTTTAATACAGTTGAATAGCTTAGCTTAACTGTTGTTTTTGGGTAACTGCCCTTGAGCCTTGGTATAGTTTGGATACTTAGCTAACTTTTCCAGTCTATTTGAATCCCTCTGAACTGTTTTAGGGAGTTCAGAATAAACTACACTCCATCACTCTGCACACACCAGCTTTTGGCTTTGTGAATCACATTTTCGTATTAGAGATTATTGATCATGTTTGAACATGAAGAATCTGAACACTTGCTAAAATTCAGGAGACTTGGACACATCCAAGGTGTGCCTGATTATAAACATTCCACATTTTCTTAAGATTCTGGTGGACTTTTGTGTTCTCCCATATTGTGCAATGCACCATCAAATGGAACAACTCCGAGTTGTCTCCAGAAGGAAAGTGAAAAGGATTGGCCTTTACTGGCAACTGCCAGGAGGTAGATTTGTCTCTGTGCTGTGTGTTTTTTTTAATATATTTTTATTGATTTCAGAGAGAGGATGGGGGGGGGATAAAAAACATCAGTGATGAGTCATCATTGTTCGGCTGCCTCCTGCGCACCCCCGGCTGGGGATTGAGCCCAAAACCTGGGCATGTGCCCTGACTGGGAATCGAACAGCAATCTCCTGGATCCTAGGTCAATGCTCAACGGCTGACCCACGCCCAGCTAGGCTATCTGTTATTTTATAATCAGGGCCAGCTTAGGCTGCAAATATTAAGTTAAGCCTTCGAGTCGCTTCTGAACACAGGTCCTCATTCCTCATTTATCCCCTCGATGCCTTTGAAATTTCCTTGAATGTAGGAGCTGAGAAGATAAAAGAGCCCTCCACCCTTTGGAGACACACAGGGGCTGTGCTTGGTATCCCAAGCAATCCCTAAACTGAGGTTGGAGTGTATGCTTCCCTGGGGTTCTTGGGTCTGCCTCTCAGTTTCCTTTGGTCTTTCTGTCGATAAAGCCCTGCAGGCTCCTCTGGCCTCCTTCCTGAGCTCCCTCCCTAGGGGCACATTTCCAAAGTTTTAAAGGCAGGCTTGGCCTCTCCTTAACCTCATTTCATCTTGTCCTCCCACCCCAAGGTGTTCTTCCTCCTGAGCCCCACTTCTTAGATCATAGTTCATCCAAAACCTGGTGCTGATCACCCCCCTTCTCCTGCTTCCTATCTGATCCGTCATCTGGTTCTGGGGATTTTATGTCCCAGTTACCCCTTGAGTTCTCAGTTTTCACCCTATCTCAGTTCTTGTGAAACCCCCTAGTGGGTCTCCCTTCTCTTGCCTGTCCCCTTCCCATTGTTCTTGAGAAGGAACCTCAAGTGCTAATCCCACGGTACAGCTCAGGGCCAGGGCACACTTTTCCCCTCAGGTTAGCAGATTCCAGCATGTTCTTTGGGTGTTGACTCGAATGGCACTTTGTCTGAGAGGCCATCCTAGTGCTTCAAGGTTGAGTACCGTTACGTTCCATGCCCACTTACAGTTTTCTGAATGAAACCTTCAACCGTAGTAATGGTGCGGTTATTTCTGTGACTAGCTGAGTTTGTCCTTATTTCCAAGGACCCTGTTTGTCCTGCTTTCCATGGCATGCCTACTACATCTGACGGCGCCTGGCTTAGAGTAGATGCTTGTTAGATATTTTTGACTTGATCCTTTTCAACAGGGCAAATTGATGGCCAGGAAATCACTGCCACTGCTGTGCTGGCCCCCTGGCCTAGGCCACCCCCCAGGCGATTCAGCCCTCCCAGGAGGATGCTGCCACCACCTCCCATGTGGCGCCGGTCACCCCCACGGATGAGGAGAAGGTGAGTCAGTTTGGGGTTTCACAGGGGACTGGCTGGCTGAGACCATTTTGGGTTTGTTTTATTTACAACACAATATGACAGTTATGACTTTGGTATCTTATTCAGCCCCCGCACGCACCATAATGGGAGTGGGAAGGCAGTGTTGGCATGGGTGGCCTTCAAAACTCATGCTCATTATAGCAGGGGAAAGGAAGAGGGACCAGCAGAAGGTGGCCCTGCAGGTTGCCCCAGAACTCCAGAACGTCTTCCTTTCCAACCTATTCTGACTCGGAGTGTTGGACCAAGAAACTGTGCAGAATTGTTTCAAAAAGAAGCTAGCATTACTCCTGCTGTCCAGAATGTAGAGCTGTTTCATGCCATGTGCTTCAAGTGTCTGATGTGATTTTTCCTCTTCCTACAGGTCCCGCTCCCCGCGGCGCAGGTCCCCCGTGCGTCGGCGATCCCGCTCTCCCGGCCGCCGCCGCCATAGGAGCCGCTCCAGTTCCAATTCCTCCCGATAAGCAAGCCACTGAAGCTCTGCCCCATAACTTATATCCCATCCAACTCAGTTCTGTCACTTCTCTAGCCGAAGGACAGTCGTCAGTAGGAAACAAATCCTCACTCAGGGGCAGGCTTCCAAAGGCAGCATTGAGACGTTTCCTCTGAAGGCCAAGTTTGGGTGCAGAAGTGGTGTTGGTTTGGGGTTATGCCTATGAAGATGCTCTCCAGTTTCCTGGCTAGAAAGTTCCCAGGTTTCCAGTCCCTGAGAGTCAGTTCAGTAGCAGAGCCAGCAGGAACAGAGCAGGATTCCAGGTAGCAGTGCTGCCCCAGCCTGCGAGCACATTTTTCCATTCCACAGGTGACCTATGGCCAGTCTAGCAGCCTGAGGATCCTTCAGGAAAGGGCATGCTTTGGTACAGCTGCCGTTCCTATTAACGTGGCCCTGCTTGAGTTCTGACCTCTGGGGTCAAATAGCCCGTGTTAGTTGCTATCAATCGTTCTGTTTTACATGTGCTCATACACATACACCCACACCCCACATCTCTCTCTGAAATTGGTGAGCAAGTTGAGAGCTAGCTCTGCAAGGTCATCACAGGACCTCCCCCCCTTCATGGTGGTCTTTGGGGTTACCTTGGCAATGTGTACATTGCTTTTTTGGCTTTTATTGTACAGTCAGTACTATGAATTTTCTGTTTTGAGTTTTTTTGTAATTGTAGCATTTTAGATAATGTGTTTATACTTTGTTGTGTAGAGTAAAAAGGTTGTGTTGAATAAATCTAGGGTTAGAATGTGTATTGAGTGTTGGAGTCACTGCTTCCTTCCTGCCCCTTGGCCCCAAAGATAGCTATGGTTGTGAGGGACACATGGCTGCCTAAGATCTGAATTTTGGTTTTGTTTTCAAAGTCATGCCTCCAAAATCAAGTAGAACCTTGGTCAGTGTACCTGAGAGTTGGGTTTTCCCTGCACATACACAAATAAGAGGAAGATGTTTTTTCGTCTTTATATTCCCAGAAACTTTTAGTTCTGCCTGACTGGAAACGTGAATCTCATTTGCTGCTGCTGTATTAGTTACTGTGACAAAAAAACTATTTCCTCCTCAAAAATTGGTTTGTGCCACAAGGAAGACCTGGAAACACTTACGGTGTTAAAGAACAAAAGTGTCAATTGTCTGACATTGTGCTTGACCCTTATTGTGCCCAGTGCTCAAACAGAATGGTCAGAACAAGACCATGTCCTGCAAGTAGTACAAAGGCTTGCTCCCCGTGCCTCTACTTCATTCCCCCTGCCTGGAGGGGTCACCATCTTTATTTGTTTCTTGAGTATCTTTTCAGTGTTTCTACATGTTGGATCAAGCAAATGAAAACACCCACCGTTTCTCCCCTTTCTTGCGGAGGAGGTAGCAACTGTGGTCCTGCCTTTAGTGAGTGCCTGTTTGCAGCAACTATGTTGCCCTACTGGGCTTTGGGAGAAGGCAGATGGTGTTAGTCACCAAGCTATGCTGATCCCCATGCCTATGGCTAAACTGCCACTTTTCCTCATGTTCACACATGAGGCAGCGCATGGCCCCCATCTGCATTTCCTCTCTAGCATCCTTTTCAGTGGGGATAGCAGAGTTTGAGAAACAGCCCTGGTGTGAGTTTGCCAGGGTTCCCAGAGTGTCCCTTATTACCCCTTAAACTTACAAGCCTCTCCATGACCTATGTAATTTATGTGCATTTTCTCCCAGTTTCGACACTCTTGCCTGGGTAACTTGGTCTTTGCCAGGTTGGAGAAGCATAGGAAGCCTGCCAGCGCCCCATAGGCGCATCTGTGGACGGAGGGGGAGTGCGGGTCTGTTCTGTGGGGTTTATGGGGAAGGTCTGTCTTGGGCAGGCAGCTCATGCCTGACCCTGCAACCCACAGCCCCAGGGCCCTGCTCAGTGAAGCCGGTCGAACTGGTAGGCCAAGCAGGGCGGAGCTGCTCAGGCGTGGCCTGAGGCCCTAGGGGTCAGGAGGATTTGCACCCTGGTTGACACGGTTGTGGGCGGAGGGACGCGCTTGAGCGGGGGAAGCGGTGGAGTAGTCCTTGGCCAGCTGGCCGAGGTAATGCCGGGGCAGGGGGCGTGGCCGGCCCCGCCCCGACTGNGACTGCGAGGCCACACCCCAGCGCCGCGACTCCCACCCGCTCAGGTCAAGATGGCGCTGACGGCGGGGATGCGGCTCCCAGCGCGCGCCCTGCTCCGTGCTTGTGCGTGACCTCCGGCGGGTGGGCTGGAGACCGGGGATGGCGGGCTCGGGGCG